AGACACCTGGAACACTACTTATGTGACAAAAATTTGATGGACAAAGAGACTTAGCAAATGCTTTGTGGAGTTTATCAATTTTATTCTATTCTATTCAGTTGGCGCGATAACTCGATATCGAGTCTTGGCCTCCTGTACCAGCCTCCACCAATTGTTCCTATCCTGTGCAGCCGCCATCCAGCTCCTCACTCCCAACATGGACCTGGCATCACCATGTTTCTATTCTATTCTATTCATATCAATTCCAAAGATGGGAAATAGTATTCTGAGGGAATGGAACAGTTGCCAACACATTGGCAGAAATGTATTGATAGTAGTGGTCTTTTTTGATTAAATAAAACAGTTATAAATCTTTCTTTTTATATCAAAATCCTGCATTATTTTCTGGACAACCCAATATATACTTAATATAACTAAAACAGAAAGTTCTTCCCAGATTATAAATAAATAAATAGAAATCCACTTTAATATAAGACAATAGTAGTAATGATGATTAAAACTCTAAATCCCAACAATATCCTGCCTAAGTTTAAGAGAAGAAAGAAACATTCCTCTGCATTTAAAGTGGCTGAAAATAGACCTTTTTCATTGAGTTTCATAAAAGTATTCCTGTTAGATGGAACATTCAAGTGGAGTATAAATGACAATGCATACCACTCTATATCTTGCATATAATTTCTCTAAACGAAGGATGATTTTTTATTTCAAAGAAATAATACATCTGCTCTTACTTTTTTGTTCCAAAATATTGTTTGAATTGAAAAATACTATCACTATTACTTTATATTTAGAATGAATAGCCACTATAAGTTGTATTACACTGTATTTTCCTTACCAAATAAGAGGAAGAGAGATGATGGTGATAAATTACTACTGATACATCAAACATGATTATTTATTCTCAACGAAATACCAATCAATTTAAGTACATTAATGCATCCATTAAACATTTTCTTATATCTCCACATTTCTTATAACTAAACATAAATTTGATTTTCTTATTCTTTATGCATTTTATATTAAAATATGTATAACCTTGAACCTCTCACTTTTCATAAAGACCTGTAAGTTTCTTAATAATAATGGGTCAAATTTAGAGATGGTATACATGAGGGAATTATGAAGTAGACTGAAACTTCTATAGTTTCATTATAATATTTCATCTATATCTTCAATAAACCTTGTTTCTATTTACACAACAAATAATATTTACAATATATTTTTTACTGAACCACTCCTGAAGAAGGCACAATAAACCAAATTAATCATGAACAAATTTGTGCCAGGACAAAAGTAATGTTTAACTTATAATTTGTTTTAAATTTCCAAAAATCATGAGAAAAGCTTTAAGTATTCTCTTAATGAATTGAAAATTTTGAAATGAATGGTATTAAGCAATTAAGATAACAGCTTAATCATGTATCACAGTCTAAGAAAAATATTTCTTTTAAAACTTTTTTATTACTAAAAATAATCCAGACAATTTCAATTATTTTTAATGTTCTAAGTGTTATATGTTATATTTATAAGTCTTGAAATAAATGTTCCTGATCTTAATATTTACGTCTTAAATAAAGAAACCTGCTGATTGCATTAATTATTTTCATGAATACTTACATATTAGGATCTGGAACATTTATTTCATTACTTATAAATAAGGATTAATTCCTTTAATAGAGATCGTAGTAAAAAAACTCTTTTTCATTATCATTTTAGAAAGTGCTGGCCTTAGACATTCGGCGCCCCTGGGCAGTGAGTCATCTCTCTCCTGAAAAAAATTAAATTTATTTCTTAAGCTGTTTTATATTATGCAGTATTTGAATTTTATTTCATTCAATATTTCTCTGTTCAGTTGCATCATTAGTAGGCTAAAATTAATTATTTTAATACGTTTTGTATTTTTTTAAATTTCTAACAAGTGGCGAGCGTTCCTCCAGGTCGCCACTCTGGGGCAATTGCCCCGTTTGTTCCACCCTTAAGCCGACACAAATTTTAGATGATGGATAATCGAAAAATCATTATTTTTAACATTTTTTTAAAGAAATATAATATTTGTTTATTCATTTTTATTTACCATTATACATCCCAGGTCATTGAAAAATTAAATATTAAAAATTAAAGTTTTGCAATAATTTATTGTAATCGATTTTTCTGAAAACACTGGTATTTTAGGGTGATAGGCAGGGGTGTCCATCCCCTCCAAGGTCAATAGCGCATAAATCTCATACTCATTTCAACGAAATTTTATTACTCTTCTGTTATTAAAAATAGTGAAAGTGAAAGACAAATTAAACAAAAATGTAGTTCATATTCAATTACACTTGCTGTGGTCTCGTCCACGTTTTTCCCTTGTCCCCTGGTTAAAATATTTAAAATGTGCCCCCTCAAAACTTTCAACAGCGCAACTTGCGCCATGAAACACCCTTCTGTGCGAGCACTCCTGGTAAGAGGATATATAATCACATAATATTTTTTATACAACTGGAGGTGAATCTCAAGTTTTCCCAAATAAAATTCAGCTTAATTAATATGGAATTAAAGCATATCAAACAAGAATGTTTTTCTAAAATTGGGGTGTCTGCAGTATAGTTCAATGATGATGAAATCACGAATTTTTTAAAAAACATAATTTAGCTTATGGGTGATAAATATTCAGAATGCAGTCATTATAAAGTTTTTATTAGTGCCGTCGTTTCAACCCAAACATGTGGATCATCATCAGGGCTCGAACCACGCCACCACTGTAACCACTGAAAGTATTCAAGTACTCATGAATTTGTAATTTTTACTCATAGTGCTTTTTGCCTATCTCATATCTTCAATCACCCAGTATTTTCATAAAAAGTGCCCCCGAAAATATTATAGTTGACCCTAATATCGATTTAATGCGGGGGCGCAATCTCAAATCTGAAAGTATTTTCATCCCCTATATCTAAATTCTGGAGACTATTTTCAAAAACAGTGGCCCCTAAAACATATAAACAGACCTAAATATCGAAGAAATCCTTAAAATTACAAAAAAAATTATCATAATCGTATTTTTATCTTAAATAACGAATAATAGATAATGCATATTATTTGTAAATAACAAATAATTATCTGTCCAAAGGTCGTCGAATAAGAATAACGATTAAATATTTATCTGTTATTTGTTATCTAGATAAAATTTCAAATAATTTATAGGAATAACGCCCAACACTGATTCGGGGTCACAATGCAATGCACCTGAGGTCGAGGTCAAGAAAAGAATATTAACGGCTAACAAGTGTTACTTTGTCCTTCTTAAGGAATTCACCTCTCGCCTTCTATCCCGGCAGAACAAGCTACATCTTTACAAAACACTAATCCACCCATTCTTGCTGTATGTGTCAGAAACATGGACAACTAAAAGAATTGAGCAAGAACTCCTAATCTTTGATAGAAAAATTCTTCGAAGAATATTTGGAGTTCAGATTGGGGGAAATTGGAGGAGGCAGACAAACGCCGAATTTTAATCGATTTTTAATGATCAAGATGTCATTCTGAGAATGAAGCTTGAAAGACTGAGATGGGCCGGCCACGTGGCTAAGATGGAGAATGAAGCAATCCCCAAGATGATCCTAATAGAACCTCTCTATGGCACAAGAAGAAGAGGAATACCAAAACTATGATGGTCAGAGGGTATGGCAAGAAATTCAAGGGATGTCCTGGGAATCAGGAGCTGGATGATGGCCACACAGAAAAGAGATGACTAGAGTAAGCTGTTGGAGGAGGCCAAGACTTATCATCGAGTTATACCGCTGTGATAGTTAGTTATCATTATATAGAGCCATTAAAATACTTATGTTTTGAATTTATCTCCTTGAGTGCATATTTAAAGACATGAATAAATGAAAACTAAGAATAACTGCTTAACAAATGTACAAATTAAAATTACATTAGTGTGGCTGTATTTATACTGAAAATTATCAATAGTATATCAAGTATAAATAAATGTAAATTTAATGAAATCAGATTAAGATTATGGGAAGGTTTTCTTAAAGCAAAATAATGAAAGTATTGCTGACAGAATGCAGGATACAGCAAGCTTAATTTAGCATACTAATGAGAGATATGAAATCATCTTATTTCATAAATCTGCCATTTATATGTTTCGTTACAAATTTATATTATTTTTATATGCATCCCCGGCAAGGACCTTTGGATAAATTTTATTTGAAATTAGATTAAAATCTTTAAAACAAATAAATTTAATTTTAATCCTTTATTTATAAATAAATTATGTTATGTTTTATTTTGTTAATTTTTTGTTTAAGAATAATAAATAAACACAATTAAATGTTATATATTTTATTTTTTTAATAAAATGTATTGCTAAAAATTAAATTTAATATTTAAATATTATTAAAGCAATAAATTTAATTTACTAATGTCTCAATCAAACATTTCTTTGTAAAAACTGAGAAATGTATAAAATATTATTTTTTTTTCCTAAATAGAAGAATATGATTAAGCCAATAAGATGTTATTCGTGTAGATAATGCGTAATAAATATTTTGCTTTTAAATGAAGTTAGTCAGGAGTGAGGTCAATATATAAAACACTATATTATATAACAGTATTTTATTCATTGAGCGTACCCCTGACTAACTTCTTCTGAAATTAGAATCTACAGTCAACCATCTCCATACCAATTAATAACTATTTTGAGTTACTGATAAACGAATAATGCATAAAAATAATTCATTATTTAATGCAGTTTTACTTGAATATTAACTCATAATGTTATTTGAATAATCTGTTGGTATAAGTTATTTGGTATTAAACTTGGCTCCTAATTATCTATTGTTGTTTGAGATAAAGATAGGAAATCAGATATTTTGAATTTTTTTTTTTTATTGGTATACATATTATTATTATTATATTTTCCATTTGAACTGTTAAATTAAGTTTTACCAATTATAACTAAAACAATTTTAGTATTGATATTGCTTCCTCAGTTTTTAATTTTTTTATTTCAGTGTGTTGATGTTGGTGAATATGATGCTTCTGCAAAATTATACCAAGTTTCAGGATCATTATCTACTTCACTGATGTCAATTTTACAATCATTAAAAGATGGTTATAAATCAGATTCATTTATTAAAAGTATTGTCTCTTATTATATTTCTGTTGCTGTTAATGATAATGATAAACTTCAAGACCTCTTAATAGATGTAAGTTTTATTTGAATTATCTTTATTTTTGTAGTTAGTTGTTTACAGATTTAACTCATTTTAGGTTTTTCCATTATTTAATAATTTGTCTCTAAATGTGTCTTTTTCTTAAAGTATTTTTTAGAACTTATAAGAACAGGATTTGGAGCTGGCATTAAATCTAGCCAGTTTGTTGGAGTCAATTCAGCATATGAATTTAATTAGCCCTATCTATAGTTATTGTATAATCCTACTCGGTCAATGGCCAAGTATTATTACTCATTTCAATATTACTACTATAATCACTTTTGATCTTGATATGTCATTTAAAGGGCAATGATACGTTGTGTGACTAAACCTATGTTCTACATTGAATTTGTATTGCTATTTTGATCTTAATTATTTTTAAATACAATTTTTCCTGTCCGGGTTCTATGAATATTTGTGATACTTCTTGGTTTCTTATTTTGTATGCATCCTGACTATAGTTCAACCAAGATTAGTAGGCAGCCCAAGGGTGAACTATTGTGGCACTAAGTTAAAACTAATATTTTGTTGTTTCATTTATCCTATTGATATTGCTTAAACATATTTAATAATATGTAAATATATCACAAAATAACAATATCAACTTGAAATACATGTATATATTTTGGAATAATATCTGAGGTTAAGAGGAAAAAACAAACGGTTATGTTCAACTTATTAGTACCATATAATTTCGCTCCTCGGATGCCAATTGATTTTGGTCAAGATAGAGATTGTGTCTTGTTAAAAAATATTTAAAGGATGTGTAGGTCATCTATAACATGTACAAAATATGTTTTGTTCCTATTTTCATTCTAAATTTAGACAAAATATCAGGTTTTGAACACACAATCTAACTCTAAATACTCCTCCAGTTTAGAAAAAAATATTATTGTTAGCATCCAACTATAGTATAAGTAATAATAATAATATTGAAGGAAATTAGTCAATTGTTCTACATATCGTGGGTGATAAATATCAAGGATGCAGTCATTATAAAGTTTTTATTGGTGCCAACGTGTCAACCCTAACATGTGGGTCATCATCAGGGCTCGAACCACGCCATCACTCAAACCACTGAAGGTATTCAAGTACTTGTGAATTTGTAATTTTTACTCATAGTGCTTTTTGCCTATCTCTTATCATAAATCACCTAGTATTTTCATAAAAAGTGCCCCCGAAAATACTATAGTCAATCCTAATATCGATTTAATCTGCAAAGTTACAAAAAAACGATGGGCGGTGCTCAAAACACGCCTTGATGATGACCCACATGTTTGGGTTGAAAGGTGGGTACCAATAAAAACTTTATAATGACTGCGTCCTTAATATTTATAACCCACAATAATAATAATAATAACCTTTATTTGTACATAAATATGAAAAAAATACGCATACACTTTTTATGATGTAGAGATAGTTGACCGTGATAGCGGGCTGTGGTCAAATAAATATTAAATTATACAAATCCTATTATTTAATTATTTTGCCAACATTTCGACCCAGTTTGCAGGTCTTCATCAGGGCTACAAAAGATATAAAACAAGTGAAAATAAAATAAATGAATTTATATCTACTTATATTCTACTTATTTTATATCTACTTATATTTATTTATTTTATTTTCACTTGTTTTGTATCTTTTGTAGCCCTGATGAAGACCTGCAAACTGGGTTGAAACGTCGGCAAAATAATTAAATAATACGATTTGTGTAATTTAGTATTAATTGACCGCACCTCCCGATCAACTCCTTCTCATAAACTTTATTGTTTTATACCTAGTATTAACATATGTATAAAATCAACTTTTTAGTATTAGTCCTGAGGTTTAGAGTTCGATTATTTTACCACTCTTGCAACCAGACTAAGTAGTGCGCTTGTCCCTTTCGTTTCCACTCTTTCCTCTCCAATGCTACTCTCTTCCAGGCTACTCCTCCGTAGGTCTTCTTCATCTCCTTGTCCCAGTCTGACTGTGGGCGTCCTCCATTTCTTGCATGCTCTCTTGGGTACAAGTCCATAAATTGCCTGGCACAGGTTATAACATTCTTCCTGATGACATGTCCGGCCCAGTCCATTTGATTTTCGATCTCTGTAGTATGAGTACAATATTGAAACAGTTATTATCAACCTTAGGAGTAAAGAGAGTTCAAATATATTTTTAAGGAGAAAAAAAAATTGAGATTTGTATTTCGCTCATCGAAAAACTCTTAAATACGAAATTTAACTGAAATCGTAAAATAAAAATGTTTTACCAATATTTCACCACTGCTCTATAAAGAGGCATATTTAATATTTTCAAATAGCGGCCGTGGTGGTCTAGTTAGTTAAGGCACCTGCAAAAATTTTATGTTATGAGTTCAAATCCTGTTTGCGGGATTTAATAACAAAAAGATAAAAATAATTAGTAATAAATTAAAATAAATAAGTGTAGGACCTACTTGATTGTTTAGACCACTTTGGCTTGGGTTCGATTTCCTCATGGGGAGGTTATTGTCCCCACCCAGCGATTCATAGGGAGGTGAGAGGCTCCTATGTCTTACACCATAGCTTCTGGTCCTCCAGTTTGGGGGTTGAGCATAGGACTAATAATCCTCTATCCCATAAATAAAACAAAAAACTGGATAGAGATTCCTGCAAAAGGTTGTCAACCATCCTGCAGGAGAGTGTCATTAAGCACTTGTAACTAACTATTAATATTCCTGTAAAAAGAACTGAACTCAATAGACGTAAAGATACTACTAAAACAGAGTGCAAAGAAATCAAGAAACATACACGAATAATACGATAATCAAGTTGGATACTCAATAGTTGACTGTTGTATAATAAGGAAAAAGATTGACTTATCTATTAATGGAATATCAATATATGGGGGCAATTTGTGTATGAAAGGGTTGATTGATGGTTGTGAAGGGTTAAGAGAGGAGGAGACTGTAGTTTTTTTGGATCATATAAGTGTTAACATTTTCAAGTATAGTGTTTGATGGAAAGTAGGATTTGTTTGTCACACTGGCTTGGTATTATGGATCAGATAGAGAGAGGAATCAGAGAATTAGGTTTTTGAGAGAAAAAGTTAAGAAGTCGTCCTGAGAGTGGGTTTAGTTCACAATATGTAGATAGAGAGTCTTTGGTGCTTATGAAGATAAGGAGGTCTAAGATGGGAAGTGAATTGTTACCTGCTTTTTAAATGGTAAAACTAAGACAGAGATGTCATGATTTAAAACAAGAAAGGATCTGAGGGATACTTTCTGGGTTGAAAACAAGAATGTCATCAACATATTTTTTATTGAAAATAATATCCTTAGGGAATAATGGAATAACTGAATCTAGGAGGTCATTAAGAACTATGTTAGAGATGTTGGGGGCTAAAGAATTTCCCATATCTAGGCCAAAGATCTGATTGAAGAATTCACTTTGGAAGGTGAGGTATCCAGATCTATAGCAAAGAGATTCAAGGTATGAGATGAGGTTCGATAACAGACTTTGTCTAAAAGTGATATGTATTAGGTTGAATGTTTATAAATTGTTTGAATGTTTATTAATTGTTGTTCGTATTAACCATTATTATTATCATTAATATTAATATGTATGTATATAGCGTTTTAATAAATGAACATTATGATGTGAATAGAGTATTCTTTATTTTAAATATCAAATATTATTTAATAACTCTAATTACAATGAATTTTTTGTTCAGATATAGCGTAAATGATTTTGCTTTTAATGTTTATTTAATTTTCTTCTTTGCAGAATAAAGTTTTAATTCCAAATTTTATTTTTAGGTAGTAAATTTTTGGATTCAAAATGGATTGCCTATTTCTCATTTGGAAGATGTATTTTATACTTTTTGGAAAAGTACTGCTGTACACTTCAGTAAATTATTTTTCAGGTGGTTAATTTTATATATATGTTTTTAAATTATTATTGTTAGTTTTCATTTATGTTTTTAAATTATTATTGTTAGTTTTAATTTTTTGTTCTATTTGAAAAGATAGCTTTATTAGTTTTTTTTTTAATTTTATTAATTCAATTTCTTTACATTTCAAACCTTTATTCACTCTCTCTCTCTCTCTCTCTCTCTCTCTCTCTCTCTCTCTCTCTCTCTCTCTCTCTCTCTCTCTCTCTCTCTCTCTCTCTCTCTCTCCCTCTCTCTCCCTCCCTCCCTCTCTCTCTCCCTCTCTCTCTCACACTCTCACTCACTCTCTCTCTCTCTCTCTCTCTCTCTCTCTCTCTCTCTCTCTCTCTCTCTCTCTCTCTCTCTCTCTCTCTCTCTCTCTCTCTCTCACACACACTCACACTCTCACTCTCACTCTCTCTCTCTCTCTCTCTCTCTCTCACACTCACTCTCTCTCAAACTCTCACTCTCACTCATTGTTCTTAGTACTTTGGACTGGAAGGATTGGATATGTTTGATATTTGAATATTTCGCAGTTCCCCACAGTTCAAGTCCATAGGTCCAGGGTTTATTTTCAAGTTAACAGTTTATTTTAAATCAAAATATAAGATGTTCTGCTTAGTAGTCTATACAGCTGACCAAATCGTCGGTTAAGTTCTTGTCTTTTAAGTCTTGTATGTGGGTTCCAAGTTAGTCTTTTGTCTAGAAGGAAGCTAAGGTAACGGACTGTATTTGGGTAGGAAAATGGTATTGAATTAAAAAAGATTGGCAGACAGGATCTGCACCGCAGGGTGAAAGTGATATGTTTGCATTTGATTCATTGATTTTGATGCGCTAGGAAGGTATCAGGATTTGAAGGTATATCGGCTGTGAAGAGAATGTAGAGAACTGGGCCCAAGGCACTGCCTTGTGGAACACCAGCCTCAACTGGATAGTAATTGGAGAATTCGGTGCCGGAATGATTTGAGAGGTAGGATTTGAGGACTAGGTATAAGGATTGGGGTAAATGCGTTTTAAGCTTGATAAGCAAGGCATTGTATCACACTCGGTCGAAAGCTTGATCTACCTCCAGAAAGACAACAGTGCAATATTGCTTGTTTTCGAGTGCAGAGAATAAATGGTCCATAACACGAAGGCCTTGTTGAACAGTGGAATGTCTTGTGCGGAATCCAAACTGATGGGACAGGATATTGTGGGATTCGAGTATGGGTAGGATGCGATTGAGTAGGATTTTTGGATGGAGTGGGATTTATAGATTTTTTTAGTTACATTCCAGAGGGAGTTATCACTTGCAGATAGTGAAGAAAGGTAGGATTTGTAGGATTGGGGTTTAAAGGTTTCCAGTTTCTGTTTCATCAGTTTAGAATAATAATTACATGACTTCTGGTCATCAGGATGCCTGGTTCCTAACCAGAGGGTCCTAAAGAATCGTTTGCTGTGGATTAGGTCCAATAGGTCTTGGGGTAGAGTAAAAAAAAATTCTTATTGAGTACGTAAATATATACGTGTGCTTGGAGAGGATTGATCAGTACAGACCTTCCCCTGGCTGAGGGCAGTAGCCCACTGATAAGATTAACAAATTTATATGGCCGGCTGTTATTTATAACTAACCTGAGGTCTATTTACACTGTTCACTCTTGAGTTATAAATAAGTGATTACTCACCTTATTTTTGTTCAGTATCAAACCTAATTGTTAGTGTAGTTGATAACACTAATATTTTACATTAAAGTTGAATACTGCCACTATTAATAAATAATTTTATAAGAGATGAACTGACGTATGTTTAACTAAGGCTAACACATGTGCAGAACACATTTGACTATATTTAGAATAATTTATCATTTGAAGTATAGCTGATAAAAGCTAGAAATATAAGTAACATTTAGTTATATATTAATTAAATTAACTTGTAATTTTTATTAATCAAACACTTTTTAATGCCTGAAATAAATTTAATTAATCGAAATCTGTATAATATATGCCTTTTGGGTTTAAATATGTACGAAAATCAAATTTTGTCCAAATATGCAACAAACAAAATTTTCCAAAGGATTTAGAATAAAGGATGGACTTGTTTCATGAAGATATTGATTCATGTTTTTGAAATAATGGTGCACAAAAAAATATGCATCTGCATATAAATCTAGGTCTCAGTTATAATGAATTGAAAATTTTAAATATGATTTTAAAATGATAGCATTTTTATAAGAAGTTTATTTGATAATACAGTAACTTACCTCAATATCGAGAATATATTTGTACTCAAATAATTACAAATTCAACTATTACTTCAATTGATAGTTGAAGAGATGAAGAAATATATGGTGCTTTTATGAGCCTAGTGAGGTAACTTCGAGTCAGGTAAAACTTCCAAAATGCGGTAGCATGAATTATAATGGACTTTTCAAAGGAAACTGTTCTGTGGAGAAGAGATATACAAATTAGAATGTTGTAATCTTGTATTTAAGGAATGGAAGAACACGGGGTGTTGAGGTCAAGAATATAGCATGATATTTTAGTTCTCGAGAATTGGTTTAGGGAGACACCAAAAAGATATTGTTTACAAAAACTAAGATATAACTAAGCTTACTCGGATTATCAGTAAGAAATTTTAGTATCTGGGAATACCATAAATAAATATTATGAAACAGTGGATCTTTTGGATATTTGTGATAGTGGATCTTTTCTTTCATAGCATTGTTATTTCAACAATTCAAGTTATTACAATTCTGTAAGAGATCTTATTCTATCTTAACGTACACAGCCAATATGAGGAACCCTGAAGACTCCATGTTCATCACATACCAAATAATTAGACTCTATAATGCTTTAAAGGTTACCATTTTAGAAGTTAAGATCAAAAGCGACTGAGGTCCACTAGCCCTCTGAATGACAGATTTGTTCGCAATCTGGCCTTAAGGATCATATTGTAACCATAAATCAACTCAGATGTCAATTAAGTGAAATTTGACAGGTATCAATTTCCATTTGAAAAGTGAGAACTTTTATCAAAACTAATCAAATCACCTGAAACCCTGTGTGTGGTCCTCTTTTCACCAAAAAACAAAACAAATTAAGCGACTTAAATTGACTCATGAAACATCCATTAGAGGTTAGAGGTATGGAAGCACTTTTTTTTTTTTTTTATTGAAAATGTGTAAGCAGGTCATCATAGGATCATATTTTCACTCGTAGAAGGCCTTGTAAAGGATATGCTCTATACTGTTTGATCCCACAAATTTTATACGAGGGATACTTGAATATGTTGTGTGTTATTTCTTTTGATGTCTATACAGACTTATTGGTTGTGCAGAGCAAGTTCTTAAAAGCTCTAAAAGCTCTAAGGTTCATGGAATTAGAGGGCGAATGGGTTAACGTGTGCACTGCACCACCGTTGCCCGGCAACCGGATATATGATTATATGATATGAAAATTGTCACGAGTTCGCGTCCCGGTGCCAGAGGGGATTTTAAATTCCCCGCCTTCACCCTCTGGTCCGGGAAAATCCCGTATAGCCTAAAAGGCGAGGTAGGGAAGAACAGAAAAGAAAAAAAAGGTTCATGGAATTATACGAATATTTCCGTTTTCTATTTACCCCTTACATTGGAAATAGTTTCTTGCTGAGTTGTGGAAATAAACGATCACACAAAGCTCTGATTGTGGTTGAGTTTCTCGAGATTATTGGTATCATATTTCTGTATGAAAAATCTAGATCTTAATAAAATAACTATAAATAGTCATATCCAAAGGTCAATTGTATTCACCATGGCAGACACCCAATAATTGGTCTAAAGGCATGATGATGCTCTGGATATTATATACTTTAATTTGTTATAACATGAATTTAGAACCTGACAATGGAGCACATTAGACTTAAGGTAATTACAAATTTAATGTAACAACTCAATTCTGACATGTATTGTAATATGCATTATATTTAACTCAATTTTTAGCCATGAATCGACAAAAAAACATTGGGATTGTAGTTCTGAAGATGGGAGTAAATATCCCGAAACATTAACATGTAAACATTTAACTTGGAAATACAACAAATAAATCAATTGTTGTTTAATTGGAAGTTATTATTGCCAAAAACAAATAATAAAGTATGTTTGAGAATGCTTCAAGCTCCATAAGTGTAATCAGAATTACATTCCTATTATCCTTATACACTTATTTTAAGAAAAGTTGGGAAAAAGTTGTAAGAGAATCAGACAATTCAACCTATTAAATTGGTTAACAACCTCTTTGAGGGCATAGAAATGTGATTGATTGTCATCAGCTACAAATAGTACTACAAGCTATTAAGTTAATTTTAATAAAGATTGTGGTGTTTTTATGTTTGTTTACTTAAAATTTTTTTTTAAATTTTAGATCACCAAAATATTAGATGATATTTTCTATAGATAAATGTATTTTTACTAATTTTCACTTATTTGTTAACATCTGAAAATAAATTGAAGCAATTTATAGTATAATTGCTTAAACATAGACATTTTTAGGTGATGCATTAATTTTGTCCAAGACATATAAATTGAAGGTGTGGTCGTCAGAGATGAAATCAAATTTAAGATTAAGAAACCTAAAATAAGTTTTAAAGTTTCTTATATATCTCTTACTGCTTGTAGTCTCGTATTTGCTTTGCCCTGATGAAGGCCTCAAACTTAACCAAAAATGTTGGCACTTATTAAAATAAGGCTAAGGTTAATAAAGATTGAGGTGTTTTTATGTTTGTTGATTTAGCTTTTTTTTTAATTACATAAATATTATCCATAAATAAATGTATTTTTGCTCATTCAGAATTATTTGCTGAAATCTTAAAATAAATTAAAGCACTGCGAATTGCTTAAACATATAAATTTTGAATGATGCGCTAATTTTTCCCAGGACATATAAATTGAAGGTGGGTATCCTAAAATAGGTAAATTTTTCTTACCAGTTGTATTGTATTTATTTAGCCCTCATGAAGGCCTACAACTTAAGTGAAAACATTGCCACTTACTAAAATAAGGTTAGTGTTTGTATGTTTAATTTCATTTCTGACTATGACCTCCAACCTAATTCTCATACTGTATATACATTGTATTATAATTTTGAAATTATATTTCATATGTATAATAACTATTCTTAGATGTCTTGTGGCATATATGACTTCCATACAATACAAATTTTTAATGCATTATTATATGCGGTAGTGTTTATTTCTTGCTATCCTGTGATTTGTCAAGATATTCCTTTAAACCCCTCTGCCCCTTACATCTGCTTGATGATTTATTTTGATCCATCTTATTATTTTCTTCACATTACATTAATAAGTACATTAAGTTTACTTTTATTTAAATTTGTTTATTTTCTGTGTTATTCTATCTAATTAATTTTGCAATTAATGTATGTGACTATAGATACTTCCTTTTAATTATGAATTTTCCTTTAATCTATAAATAATGTATGAATGATGAATATTTAAATTTTTCTTATCCTTTCGATAATCTATTGCTTATTTTGCATTTTTGGTTGTATGAATTTTCTCTATTATTATTTACTACTATATTTTTAACTTAGTTTTAATTGTCTAGTATTTCCAGGTTATTGAAATCAAATTGGTGATTTTACGTTACTATATTTGGCTAAAGTGGTTTAATTTTAGTTTTTTTTGTTTTTACAATTTCCCATGTGCTGTTCAACTCTTGTTACCCCAACTTCTTGGATTTACCTCCTATATTTATACCCCTCAACAGTGAATTTAGCTATATTTATCAGTTTTATTAGATAAAGATTTTCTTTTGGTATATTACAAACATTTATTTTTATCTTTATCATGTGTAGCCTATCAGTCAATTCTAAGACTATTAACCAAATTCTTAGTCACATTTGTGTTTCTATAATAATGGTTACATGGCTAGCCTATGGGAAGAAGCGTATCAATTAATTTATATGTCATATGCACAAATTATCTGATAACGAAGAAAGTTAAATTAATAATAACAAAGTCAATATTTTTAAGTATATATTGATGTCGTCATAATAATAACAAAGAAAGATGAGTATGTAGAAATTCTTGAATATATGAATATCCATGTGTCTGAAAATTTGGTGAATAGAGGGACTGAGTTGGCTAATAGGGGAACCCCTGAAAAAGACAAAAGTAGAACTTAATAATATATTAAAATAAATTAATAAATAAAATTTGATAAAGCAATATAACTAACGAACTCACAAGAAAAACTAATACAGAAAAAAATATTTGTTTATTTAGTTATATTTGGGTGCCATGTAAAACTACTTAGCTTGAAAGCACTTTCTTAAATTTCATTACAATATGTCTGTAAAGATTTAGTTTAATGTTGTCCATAGTAATTGCATTGTTTCAGAAATTTGAACAAATTCTTCAAGTTTTTTGGTTTAGGGCTTGTTGATATCCCCAGAGGTGATGGGATGTATTGCTTTGTTAGAAGCTTGTTGCAATTGTGACATTTTGTTGGTGAATTCTTAACGAGGAGGTGGCCATGAGGGAGCCTGGTGTTTCCCTTTATCTCTGGGAGTGGACTAGTGCCACTATAAATGTTCTTCATTTTGTTATTACTTGGAATCTTAGACCAAGAGTGGCACCAGGATAGAGAGAAATAAATACTTCCACATAAAATAATAAGTTAAAAAAATGTATTGTCTGAAAAAACAATGTATGATTAAATGAGAAAGGAGTGTATTATGTAGGAATACATAGTCAAGGTAATTAAATTTATATATTTATCCAAATTGGATTTTGGGACTATTTTAAGAAATTTGTAGTGAATTAAATATAACAACAGTAAATTGTGTTATTGCAGAGGATATTCATTCTTGATAAAGAGATAGATTACTGAAATATTAATCTATAATACATAATTTTTAATGAACAATGGCATGTATGGAAGTCATATATCCCTGATCATCTAAGAACAATAATAGGCCACTTCCAAAGAAATAAAATATATGAAGCATAATAACTATATTTTTTCTTTTCAGGGTTGATTCAAAATATAGTTACTTTAACGCTAATTTTTCTACTAAGTTCAAATTGAAAGTGATGGAATCCATGATTGCTGAAAAAGGTATGTATCCTAAATAATTTATTATTCAAAGTATTTGAATTTTATTATTATTTTTTTTGTAGGGGGGGAGAGGGAGTTAAAATTGAACTCTCTTATCCTGTTAGATTAATCTTTTCTTAGTGGAGTGTAATTTTCAGTGTTTAGTGAAATTAAATCCTCTGTCTGATTATTGCTTTATTCTTATTTTTTTTTCTACTTTAGATTGCAAAAAAATATAATGGCTCACTTATATTTTTGTTACATTATAATTTTTTTTGTTGAATTTGTTCAATATTCTTTTCAGCATTTTGCAGTATTTCTATAGATAAGGCAAAGGTTCCAGTACAATATTGGGGGGCTTGGTTCATACTGTATGACCGGGAGCCATGTTCTTGTGATATAAAAAAAATGAAAAAGTTCGACGAGGAATATTTGTGAATGACGGTACAAATTATTTTATAATATCCTTTTATTTCGGTTTTCCAAGCAATGTCCCTGAAGGGGCAACCTGTTTTATTGTGTTAATTAATCTAACAATTCTTTCATACAGTTTGATGAGGGGCCGGTCTCGCGCCTGTGGGCCGCCTCCTCTCTCTCTCTCTCTCTCGATGTCGCCGCTCATTCAATATTTTGGAGCTGGTGTCCAGCTGATGTGTAGCCGGAGGGCTGTAATTCTCTCATAATTGAGTAAGTGGGACGTTAGGGTTAGCCGCTGGCTGAGCAAGTGAAGTCGGCTGAGCAAGTGGGCCGTATGCCGTGTGCTTGTGTGCTTCATCTTTAAGTATCTGACCCTTAAAAGTAGATAAAGCCGTCTTAGGGAGGGAATAGGACAGGATGATACTGGGTGACCCCAGTTTCGGACCGGTGGAAAAATAATTGCATTTTTCAAGTAATGCATTTTACTTATTGGCATTAAGTGGGTGTTGTCGTGGATCAGGGACACGTAGGTGTCGCGAAACCGCTTCCACGTCGAAAAATCTCTGTTGAAATCCGGCACTTCTATGATTGGAAGTGCAATGGTTGAGGCGGATAAACCGAGGGGGTTGAGCCGAACTTGGCATTATTATCAACCGTGGCGCGATGCGAGCTTAACCTTCGATATCCCGCCTCTATTTTCCGTACTCCTCCCTGAATGGCGTCATAGACCGTTTCCCAGTCAAGCGGGTAGGCTGAAGCACCCTGGGACGTGTAGAGAGCATCCAACTCCTCCCATATAATTTCAAATTTATCCCACATTAGTGTTGCCTTCTCGTAAATTACTTCATACTCAAAAAAGACCCCATCGCCAATATCCGCAGCATGGATAAATAATTTGTTGAGACCGCGCTTGAGGTGGCGAAGCTTATGCTCAAGCGTGTCACCGTGGCCGAAAAAGTCGTTAACCTGTTTGTTACCGCCACCCATGGTTCCGAATTGATTTATGAATCGAGGAGATAACTATTGAATATATTTAACAAAATTGTGAAAGATCCAAGAAAAATTTTGAAATTTGCCTGATTTAAATTTTATACTAAAGATTTGAGAGAAAAAAAAATATATATTTAAAGATTTAGATGCGAATGTAAAATGCTATAAATTATCAGATGATGAAATATAAATCCATTAAATAAATATTTGTGCGTATAAATTATTGAAGTTAAATAACTAAATAAATATTTTTATGCATATAAACTAATGAAATATATACAACTAAGTAAATATGTGTAACAATAATTAAACAAGCACAAGGATTAAGTAAATAAATATATATAAAAATCAACAACATGAAATAGAAAGTGAAAAACATGCACATAGTCAACAGTAATAAACATGAAAAAATACTTAAACAATTAAAATATATATAAATAAAGTTTGAATAAAATTGTTTATACGTACATAAATTAAACAATTTTAATAATAATACAACAATTACAGTGATATTCTGCATCTATATGAACCGATATAAACAAATTCTCTTTTTTTTCTTTTTAAACCAGATCACGCTTCAATACATTTAAGCTGATAGCTGAAAAAATGTAATGCTCAGTCATTAATTCAATAAAATTATAAATCTATAATTATATGGCAAGATCTGTTGTTATTTGGATGCTGGAGACTTAAAATATGTCTAGAAGGAAACATTAGATAGAAACAGAGACGGAAGTAAGCATAGCTGTTGTGCTTAATAGAATTAGTGAATGTTGCTTCAAATAGTATTAGAGACAATACTCACTTGCTGGCTGCTTAAGCCCTTTAATATTACGTTAATTAATAGCAACATTGGCGTTAATGAATGCCTTTAATATTGAAAGCTAAGATTTAATTTAACATAAAAAAAATTAACCGGGATATGCAGTTAAATTGAAGTGTTAAACAAATTAAACTATTGAAATTATGGGCGTATGCTAACAATTTTTTTCATTCACAGATATTCCTCACCTGGGGCACCATATGTACAATATTGGGGATCCCGGTACATGCTCTATAACTGGGAGCCCTTTTCTTGTGATATAAAAAAAATGAAAAAGTCCAATGGAGGAATATTTGTGAATTACCTTACCAATTATTTGTTAATATCCTTTTATTTCGGTTTTCCAAGCAATGTCCCTAAAGGGGCAACCTGTTTTATTGTGTTAATTAATCTAACAATTGTAACATCCAGTTTGATGAGGGGCCGGTCTCGCGCCTGTGGTCCACCTCCTCTCTCTCTCTCGATGTCGCCGCTCGTTCAATGTTTTGGAGCTGATGTGTAGCCGAAGGGCTGTAATTCTCTCTTAATAGAGTAAGTGGGCGTTAAGGTTAGCCGCTGACTGTTTTTCCTGAAGTTGGCTGAGCAAGTGGGCCGTAAGCCGTGTGCTTGTGTGTTTCGTCTTCAAGCATCTGACCCTTAGATGTAGATAACGCTGTCTTAGAGAGGGGATAAGACAGGATGAGATCGGGGGTCCGCCGTTTCGGACCGGTGATTGATAACCACAGCAATAGAGAATATTGATACTGATGAGGGGAACCATCCCATCTTGTTGGCCTGTGGTTCATTTTTCCAACTCTTGACGCTATCCAAAGGTTAACAACCAGTATTAACCCGACAACTGACAAGTGATTTGCATTTCCCATGTTATTTATAACTTAATGAAAAATTCATCTTGGTGAGAACTGGTTTCTGAATAATTTAGTTTTGAAAAAGTTGTCAAGTTTTAAATACTTCATCATCCCAAATGTTTATTTTATCAAATTTTAAGTTACAAGTGTCAATAATTGATAACATTAACCATCAATAATAGGTGACCTTAACTTACCAAATATAACGAAGTTGGGCAAAGTTTCTAATTATAATGTAAGGGATAATTTATCCTTGGACATATTGATTATCCTTTTAATTTCCCTTCGCAGGAAATAGGAATTATTCTTCAAAATCATTAAGACATTTACATTATCAACACAGAAGACTATGATGTGACAGATGAAATGAAAGCTTGCATAACTGATAGGAACAAATCCTTTTAGGTAGTTCAGAGGACTATGAAATTTCAGGAACTCCCATGCCATGCTATACTTACAGTTGTCAAGACTCACATATGGCTGCAAAATGTAAACCCTAATAGATGCGAGTGTATGGTTTCTGAATTTCTGGTAGCATAAGGTTTTACATAAAATCTTAGGCCCCATTTGCTAGGGATGATGCAAAGATTTGTCAAGCTGAGATTTCGGTACACTAAGCCTAACTGAGTGACATTCATCAGACTAGCTCACATCGAATGCCTGGGCCATTTTGTGCTTGTTGGAAGAAGTTGAGGAAAACCTGAACTGACCTAGTATTTGAAGATATAGGAGCCACACTTGGGATAGGAAGGAGTAGAGATCAGTAGTTAAGGAGGCCCTGGTTCTCAGAGGATGGTAGGGCCAAATAATAATAATGTTCCGAAGTTTGAATTACTACATGATCTCTAATGGTTATTTTATCAAATTTAGGATACAAGTATAAGTAATGGTAATACGTCAATAATAGGTGCCTTAATAGTAAATAAATAATAATAATAGGCTTAGCGAACCCGAAGGTTTGATGCCAACACCACCAATCGCTGTCTACACACCTCCCTCCTCCGGTTGCTTTTCCAAACCCAACCCCACCTGATCAGCCTTAACGCAATGCTCCTACGTTCGTTTCGGTCTATCTCATATGTTTACCAGCTGGCAGAGCGCATATTAACCTCTTAGAAACTCTTTTTTTTGTTATGAAGCCCAACATTTTTATATACCAATTTTATTCACCTTAACTTCATCATCTCAATTATATTAACCAGGTACAGTTTGCGCAATTCAGCATTGTGTAACCGCCTAAATTCTCTGGTTGACTCCTCCTTCTTCCGTTCAAATTTTCTACACAATACTTTATTTTCAAAAACTTTTAGACATTGCTCATACCTTAATGTAAGCGGCCACGTTTTACATCCATAAAGAACCGTAATTGGGATAATGGTTTTGTAATTTGTAATTTTAAGTTTTGGGACAACAGGCGTGAGCTAAGTAGTTTTGTCACAGAAAAATAGCTAATAATTTCCTGCTTTCCTTTTTAATTTTTTTTCTTGTTATCTGCTGCCACAGGACTCCCCTCCTAGATGACGGAGTCAATGATGAAGTCCAAATGATGTGGTTGTCCCCCACCTTCAGGTCCAATATTGATTCCAATATCAGTTAGGTGTTTGTTTGGGGTAATGCTATAATAGTACAGATGTTGGTTAGCGCTGCCTAGAAGATCTGTCCCAGAAAGGTGTTGAGAGAACTTCATCATGCTGGTCGTTGCCTTGAGGTTGATGTGACTGATATCAGTGAATCGATAACTATAATTATGGTAAACCATCAATTTGCCAGTTTATACCGTGGCAGGTCAGCGGAATGGCTACAATTATGGTAAACCATCAATGCACCAATCGATTGCCAATAGTGGGCAGATTGGCAGGATAACTTTGGTTGGAAGTATCTCTGTGCCAGTTGAATGCCAAGTGAGGCTGGTTGGCAGGATCTCTCTGTGTGTTTGTCTGGAGGACGATGGTACCAATGAAGAGTTGGTACGGCACGTGTTGGTTGCATTTGTGCAGTACTTGTTGTAGTCAAGTTGGGCTTGATTTAGCATCCAAAGCGAGTTCCTTTTTCTTCATGAGGATATTCATATCCTCTTGGTCTTTCAGTGGTGGTTCTCGACCGCTTGGTCCAGTACTCCTCTGTCATCTTCTTCAGTCATCCTGGATTTAATGGTGGTATGCATAGTCATCCATTATACTCCACTATTCCCTTATTGTCCCTAAAATGCTGGTGGTCAGAGTCCATCCCTTCAACTTCTGGGAACAAACTTCTCTTCTAGTATAGGAGACATTTAGGGGAGATAGAGGGCCCTTCAACATTCCCAAAACTTCCTTTTCCTCCCCCCACGCACTACAACTTATATTTAACTGATAGAAAATGTATTTATCTTGCTATTATTATTATCATTTATTTGTTTCATACATTACATGGTCGTTTGTAATAATTGGGGACCGAATTGGTGAACCAAATATTACATTCATATATTTTCAAAATTATTTTATATTTGTAAATTTTCGAACAATACTTTTGTCCCAATTTACAATGTACCATTGTCACAAACGGCAAGACCAGCTCACGCAAAGAAGATTGAGATTCTTCTGATATTAATCCATTACATGAAATTACTAATGGTACCATATGGCTTCCCTTTAAATCATACAATTGTTTTAATTCTTCCTCCAATCTTACATATTTCCTTTTTTTTCCGCCACTACCTTGTGCAGATTATCATCTGAAGGAACTCCAATTTCTATAATAGACACTATTTTCTTTTCTTTATCGATTATTAGAATATTTGGCCTGTTGTGTGGGACAGTGTGATCTGTAAGTATAGGCTGATCCCAGATTTGCTGTTATTATACTTCTAAAATTATTATTTTTGTTATTATATTTCTACCTAAATAAAATCTCGTGAAGTGAAACTTCTTGGTTCAAACTATTTTCTGAGTATTTAAGAGGTAGGTTAAAAGCTAAAAAAGAAAAATTTTATTGAGACATTATTTTCTTCACTCCACTTCATAGAATTAGTTTGACATTAATATTAGCCAGATAATGATATATAACTGCATCTTCTTTTCTTAAAAATTGGCGCAAAAATGTGTTAAAATATCGATTAAATATTGAGTAAGTAAAGGAAGTAACTGGACTGTTCATAATAAACTATTATTATATATTTTTTAATATTCTTATTATGCGTGATATAAAAAGAAAAAGATTTTATGGAGAGGAGTTACAGTTCCTCACATTTATAGTTCTCGAAAAAACTGATGTTATAAAAAATAAAGATACTGTTTAAAAAAAAAAAAGAAATGCTTGGAAGGAAATTCTTTAAAACACAATTGATATGTTTACTTTGATAGAGAGTAAAAGTGCCATAAATTAACTTTAAAAGAGGGAAAAAAAATTTTTGAGGATAACTAATGAACTTTATAATTCTTTAAATCATTAATTTCTTTTTGTGGATGCTCAAGTCAAAAAATGAAATATGAATTTAACACACTAAATAATCAATTAATTATTTATAATGAAAATGACTTATAACACTTCATTCAACCCTTCCATTAATAAATATTTTTAAAAACCTGATTTATTATCTATTTCAATTTCCCTTTGTCTGAAAATACCTATTTCTGCTTTTTAAAAAAAAAAAAAAAAAAGGTGGTAAATAAAAGCTGTGTGATACACACACCACCCTGATTTTTTATTTTACAACTGTTGGTGCTGTTCAATCCCTTAGATCATTTGAAGTTTTGAAATTATTTTCAATGAACCATTATACACAGTTGCCACCATTCGGTATTCCAATTGGTAAATGCTTCACTATTACTGCTTGTTCTGCTGATCTCTACCACCCATTTGCCTAATGTATCTGTTAGGCCCAATGGAAGGCTGTCTTAGGGAGCTATTAAACTGTGCCAAAATTTATCTGGCAGATTTGGAGGACCAACTCGGGTGATGGATTATGGTTTGTTTTGAAAGTAATATAAATAAAATAATTTCCTGGGATAGAAACTGGTTTAGGACACAATGAGAAATACAATATATTAAAAAAGGAAATAGGGAAGATAAATTGAGGAATTAAATTCAGATAAGATTTTACAAAAAAATTAAGACTTACCAAAAATTAATGCCTTTACTAAGAAATCAAGATGTATTTTTTTAAATATTGTAATAGTATATCAAATATAACTGTCAAGTTTGTCAAATGAACACAAAGCACAAATGTTATCTCTATTAGAATAAACGTAATGCTTTCATTTTTATTTACACCTTAATATTTTTAAATCGTTAAATACCAATCAATTATATTAATCATGTTTACTTATTGTTGACCTGTTCATTTAATTTGGTCTTGAAATTGACTAAATTTTACATGTATTTCGTTATGTGTTTTGGATACAATATTTACTATTATTGTTTCTTGTTACTAGACCTGGGCACTCTTGAAATAATTTATTTCTGAAATAAATCATATGATTATTTCACAAATGAATTATTTCGGGAATAATGGTTCTTTCTGAAATAATATTAAAGTTGTCAATGAAATAATCTCGATGGAATAACTAATAAATTTATTTCTGAAATAATTATGTCAATATTTTAACATTCTTTGGAATAAAGTAATTTTTTTTGAAATGAGTTATTTCTGAAATAATTATTTCAGATTTATTTATTTCATAAATAAGTTATAGCAAAAAATCAAGAAATAAATATTTCAGAAATAACACTGATTTGAAATAATATAAAAAATGTATCAATATGCACCATTTCATTTCCTGCGGTTAGGCAGCCTTTAGACTTCTTATTTAATGCTGTTTGATACATATTAATCTTTGTCAAGGATGAGTGTGCCTGAGAGCAGTTTAGTTTTTTCAAATGGTCCTTTTTGATAAACAGAAACTTTATATATAAAATAATGACTGTAATACTGGTAAGTTCCTAATATTACTATCATGTTATTTAGTGAGTTTATTAAGTAGTAACAGAGATCAAGACTAATTTTGAAAAATGAGGAACTAGAAACAGTAAAAAAAAAAGGAGACATATCCATGATTAATTACTACTTATAAAAGTAAAATGCTAAAGATTTCTTAATTAATTTTGTTTCATCCATATAATTGATTAGTCGACTATCTACCCATCTCTTAATTAATTTTGTATTGTGATAAAGTTATAAGATGATCCCATACAATGAATTACTACATATTTATAGTTTTGCTTAACATAATAGCTGTAAATGATATAACAATATAACCAAGACATTGTTATAATTTTTCATTTTATTTAATATTTGAAACATTGATATATTACATTTTCGTTATTATTTTATTGTAAAAAATAAAAAAATTGCTATCAGTAGTTGTTACAATTTAAACTGAATTATGTTGTTTTAGGAAATTATGTAGAGTGTATATTGGAAGATTGCTCTAATGTGAATGATGTGTTAACAGCCTTGGAGAAAGTTGATGATTATGTTGACATAGTAAGTAATTTTTTTTTTATTTATATTTATTTTATAAAACATTTGATGAAATAAAAAAGCTAGAGCTATTTAGCTCTGTTGAGTTAAAACATAAAAATATTATAATTGGTAAATGGTTGACTGTCGTGGACAATGAAGAGAAGAATAGTTGGGGTGGTCAGTCAAAAAAGAAGGCAAAAATAAATGATAATATTTATTTTTATATATTTATAATTACATAAAATATTAATGTAATTATGCACATGCTCATGCATATGCATTGATTTTCCCCCACTTTGACTACAGCTATGCAGTGGCCTCTCATTTGTGCTCAAGGATAGACTGAAGTAAATCTTGAATTATTTATTTATTTATTTTCTTTTTTACTTTAGAACTTGTTTATTGAGAAATATTACAATATGTCTCAAAGGACATTCACAATAGTGTTCAGAGATCACATTCACACTCTGTACAATAAATAAAAATAAATTAACAGCATTTAACATAAATTAACAGCAAAATAATATATATACAATAAATAAGAATAAAATAACTTAAAGATAAAAACATAACACATACATACATACCTTTTATATACAATTTACTATCAGGGGAGGGAACTCTGAACCAGACTTGTTCCTACAACTGTGGAGGAAAAAGCAGGACTCCAGGAGATCCCTGTGCTACACTCTCAACTGCATCACTGGGATTGATATTGAGTGTGAGCGCTTACCACATACACTCATGTCATGAGTGGAGAACCTGGCCATTGCCAGAACTTCAATATATACAAACTATAAAAAGTTATGGGGCCACTGATTAAAGTTGATGGATGATGCTGGATAGGTATTGTGCAAGGGGGTTTGGATGATAGATAAGGTTCTGATGAAATTTGAAGACTTTTTCTGGGATAAGGTCTAGGACAAATGAAATATTAAGGTCATGGTGTAGGGTTTTGTTGGTTACATAGAAAGGAGCATCGACTATTGTTCGAAGGACTTAGGACTGGAAGGATTGGATACTTTTGATTTTAGGAATTTTGCTGTCCCCCACAGTTCAAGTCCATAAGTCCAAAAAGGTTTCAGTATTGTCTTGTAGATCAGTAATTTGTTGATTGAAGTTGATTTTCAATTTAGTAATCTGTATTGTTGGCCCTATCGTCGGTTAAGTTCCTATCTTTTAATCTAGTATGAGGGTTCCACATTAGTCGTCTGTCTGAGAGAAAGCCAAGATACAGGACTATGTATGAGAAAGGAAGCTGGATGGAATTAAAGTGTACTGTTGGACAGGAATTGCATTGAAAAAAAAAAATCTGTACCACTACAACCATTGGGTTCAGCACTATTTAGAGAAAGCACTGTTTCTTGGTCTACGGTTGTGCAAGGAGGTGATTTGACCGAGATCAAGCTCAACCGCTATGTTTTTTCCCTTAATTAATTATTATAATTAAGAGTACCCACTTTATTGAGGCTGGGTGTGCCCCAGGAGGGTCTACGTACCCAGGGTTGTCTCATGGCCAATGAAACAGAATAAATAATTATTCTGCCATGAGCCGGGTTTCGAACCTGGGACCTTTAGCATTGGAAGCTTAGTACCCTACCACTGAGCTACCTCACTCCCTATTGCGTTGGAATGTAAAGTTAATATGTTGGCATTTGGATTCATTTACTTTAATGGACCATTTATTACACCAGTGCTCAAGGAGGAAGAGGTGTCTTTGAAGATTTAAGGATGCTATATCTGGATCTGTGTTGGATGATAGAATGGTGGTGTCATCAGTAAATGTTGCCAGGAAGGTATCGGGATGGACAGGGATATCAGCGGTAAAGAGGATGTAAAGGACAGGACACAAAATGCTACCTTGAGGAACACCGGCTTCAACTGGATAGCAATTGGAAAATTCAGTGCCGCAGTGAATGCTGAAGGTGTGATCAGATATATAAATAGATCAATTGTTTATTAAGATTTACTTTCACTACTTTGAAACGGTCTCACCTGCATGATAAGTTAAAGTGACTTTTCCCCACCTTCCACCGCCAATACTTCCTTGGAATTTTCTTGTACCAAATGATCAATTCCCTGCACCCTTCTTACATCTACCATCTCCTTCAGCTTAAACCCTCACTCCACTCACAGAAAATAAGGTCCAGTGTCTCTGACCTCTATATTTTCTCTCATAGAACTAAAACCTGTGAGTGTTCCTTCTTAGCCCACTCCATTACCTTCTTGAATTCTTTACCTTCTAACATCCATCATGCCTCTATCTTGTCATCATTCAAATACCTCCGTATATCCCAGACAAATGATCTGCAATCGTAAAATTTAATTTTATGAATTGAATTTTATTAAAAGTAAATAGTAATGCCTGTCTACTGTTTATGTTTCAACATCAAAAATCAATGCTTCTACTTTACTTAGTTTTATATTTTTTTTTTTTCTTCAGGTTTGACTTTTTCATCCTATATGTTTATACTTAGGTATGTGTGTGTATATATATATAATGTATGTATATATTTCTCATAGGATGTGGGGTAGCTCAGTGATAGGGTACTGAGCTTCCAATGCTAAAGGTCCCAGGTTCAAAACTCGGCTCATGACAGAAAAATTATTTATTCTGTTTCATTGTTCATTAGCTGTGGGGTGACCCTGGGTCCCTCCTGGGGCACACCCAGCCTAAGGTTAGGCTAAATGCGGGGAATGCTTGTTATTTTTCTGAGACAAAAGTACTTAGCTTGTGCCTCCAGTCCTGAAATTTAAAAATTAGAATTCACAAAACCAGTATCCTATCTACAGTTTTGTATGGATGCGAACTTGGCTGCTTACTTTTAAGAATGACCCTGACGGTTTATAGGAGAGGAGACGTGTGAGTAGGACATTTGAGAGAGAGGACTTTGTATCTGGAAGTCAGTAGGGACATGTCTCTGTAATAAGTACATACTAGGCAATTCTTAGTTTAGGGTTGTCACCCATCGCCGATCTGTCTTACTTACAAGAAGAATTGCCTAGTATGTACTAATTACAGAGACATGTCCCTACTGACTTCCAGATACAAAGTCCTCTCTCTCAAATGTCCTACTCACACGTCTCCTCCCCTATGCTGATAAAGCAATAGGTCCCTACCCATGTGGATTTTGATGTTGAAAATAAACTGTTGACCAAATATTTAGCCTGAAAACTATATTAGAGAGAAGATATTGATATAATCTTAAGACACAGCATCTCTTTATTAACTTTAAAGCTGCATACGATAGTATTAATCATGATGAGCTTTTCCTCTAGTGATGTAGGAATTTCAAATTCCACAGAAGCTCATATCTCATACCTCAGAAGCTTATTGGTGAGGTTAACCATGAATGAGGGATTGTAATCAGCGCACGTTGGTAGAGATCTGTCTGAGCATTTCCAAGCGATGAAGGGCTAACGGCAGGGTGATGCCCTTGCATGTCTCTTATTCAATATTACCCAGGAGAAGACTGTGAGAGAATCGGACATGCATGTTGGACAGACAATATTCAGTCAGAGCATGCTACTACTAGCTTATGCAGACGATGTCGACATCATCAGATGCTCTTATTACACTGTCAAGAAAGCATTTTTAGCACTAGTAGGTCTTGCAAGGAAACTTGGGTTCAAGGTAAACCGGGCAAAAACCAAATGCATGGTGACCAAGAAAACCCTTCGGTGGATATTTGGAGGAGTGGTGGTGAATAAAACCTGGAGGAGACGCACAAACCAGGAGGTTTTTGGTTTATTTAAAGAGTCGAATGTTGTTCAGATGATTAAACAGGACAAGACAAGAAAACCGAAGCATAGATGGGTAGACGAAGTCGCAGCTGACGCTCGGAAAATGCTTAGAGATATATAGATATTAAAATGCTTTATAACTGGATGACAACTGCACGGAACTATGATGATTGGTGGAAGTTGCTGGCAGAGGCCCAGACCCGGCAACGGGTTGTGCTGTAATAATAATAATTTATAAAATTAGCAATTAACAATTTTTTTTACGTATTATGAGTTTTCTTAATTATTAACATTTAAGCAATTACCTTATCAGTTATTATTTGGTAAATATAATTTTTTATCTTTCTTTTTGCTGCAACTAAGACTTACGATTTGGGCTGACTAAGACGTCGGCATTAAATAAATAATCAGCAATTATTTCATGTTTTCTGACGAAATCCATGTTTGAGTGGACCCAGAAATATGTCAAAATATGGCCATCACTCTATTAAATCTGTCCAGTTTTCATTTTTGATTAAATGTTGTGTATAGCTTTGAAACAGTAAATACTTCGTGGCAGCAATGTTGGCAAGTCAGTAATTCTATACATCTTTTTTACTCCTGCAATATTCTTAGTTTTTTTTTTTTTTATAATATGGGTTGAAATGTTAGCATTAAATAAATAATTAATGAAGAGAAGAATAGTTGGGGTGTTCAGTCAAAAAGGAAGGCAAAAATAAATAATATTTATTTTTTACATATGCCGACGTTTCGACCTGAAGTTCAGGTCTTCATCAGGGCTGTCTCCTTAAGTGTCGCAGGGAGAATGCTAATAATTAATGATTATTTGATGTTTTTTATGATCAACTCCTGGACCATCTTCTTGATAGAACAAAATATTATTTTTTTGTAAATATAGATATATTCTTCCTCCTATTTAATGAGGTTAATATTGTATTAATATTTTTATGTGTATAATTGATTTTTACTGTATTAAAATCCAGTTAAATTTTTTGTACTTTTTAAACATATATTAAGGAGGCTTTTTAAGTGTTTGTGATAATTGATGTTATTATATTATAAATTAACTCTATTTTTTTTTCTTTTTCAGACTCTTGATGATCAATCGACGAAGACAATTACCTTCGAAAATTACTCTGAGTTTTCTTATCATAATATGAGTAGCTGATAGATATATAAATATGTGATGGATTGTGAATCTAAATCTTGTATCATATGTCAATATGTATCATTTGTAAATATAATTACTGTAAATATAAAAAACATAAATAACTTTGTAATCATGTTTCTTTTATTCTTATTTTTCTCTCTCTAATCATATTTGTTGGTGTCAAATGAGATTATACAATACATGGACAAGGAATCAGAAATATATTTTTATTTCTTTTCCCTACATTTGTAGAAAAATATGGACATTATAAAAAAAAAAAACTCAATATAAAGTAAGAATAAGGGTAGCTAAATCGGTATGGTATTAAATTCTTAAGCCTGGGGCTCAGGTTTGACTTATAGAAAATATATTTTTGTTATTACATCCATTGATGTACATCGTCACTCTAACAAACTAGGAGCCAGACACATTTATTCAACATACAAATGTAAAGCTACTGACACTCTAAATTTATGGTTCTTATCGGGTCGAACTAAAATCAACATGTCCTGCTATCCAAACTGAATGTATTTCGGGTTAACAATGGACTCAGATTTTGAGAATCCATTTAACGAAAGGTAAACAACAGAAATTTTCACAGAAGTTATATTCCATTCAAAATAGTTATAAGCTAATGCGGAAGGTGACGCAATCAGGTGCGTGCCACAACCAAACATGTCAAATTTTCCATTTTCATTCCATAAAACGGTTTGAATTTCTTTTAAAATATTCATTATAGTAGGGTGAGTAAAAATCAAAGTTTTATTGGAAACACATAAAAATACTGCAATTTGAAAGATTTTAATATCTGGTGAAACAATGGATAAGAACTGACTAGCAGTTCAGTTCAAATGAATGCTAAATTTTCAAAACTTATGTGCTTATATGGGTCAATTTTGCTAGTTCTATTCAATTGAACAATAAATACTTTTATTTCAAAAATATTGTTTTCAATACATCTAACTGTACTGGAAAAACAATTCTTGTTGGAAACCAAAATTTACTTTTTGTGTTCATTGTCATTGTTGACTAAACAAACATTTCCTTAATCTAAAGCTAATCGGTTAATCATATTTTAGAAAGCATCTTCCTAAGTCATCTTATGCAATTAATTTCCGATCACCTCGCTGTTCTAAATATTAAGGAACTCAAAAAGTTTATGCCTTTGAATGTGTCAGTTCTTATACATTTCATCCTATATTAAAATATTTCAAATAATTGTATTTTTAAGTGTCCCTAAAAGGTTTTATCTATTTAAATACAGTAAAATGGATTCAACCAAACCTGGTAGTTGTTTTTTTTCCCAGAGTTTTAGAAAGCAACTTTTCTAGTTGAGTGTGATTAATTTGTACTTACTTTTCAATGCTCAATATTTTTAAATAAATCCCAGCTGTTTACAAATCAGGTGAATGGCACTTGAAAACTTTGTACTTTGGAACTTGTCAGTTTTAAAAACGTGCTTGATTACGCTACGACTTATAACTTTACCAGATGTGAGATACTTGTTGCAAGCATCCACAACTTTTGTTTTACTTTTTACCATCCAACCATATCTTCTTGAAATTAGACTTTTGTAAAGTTGGGTACATATTTGAAAAGCTGATGAAATGAAGCAACTTTTTTTTCAAAGTAGAAGATAAGAAATTTACAGTATGAGCTTCTTTTTGCAAATAATTCATTTTTACATGCTTGCTTTGTTTGGCTGCTATGATAGCCTAAGAAAGAAACATCCTAGAAATCAGTAGCACTATATTATAGAAATTCATCATATATCAGCTACCCAAAAATGGTGACAGAAGTTTTGGAATATTCAGTTTTATTAGAAATATTGAATTTTTATAGAAAAAAAAAAATCTTTCCCTTAGACCCGTTCCGTTAAAATATATCTCAACAATGAATTACAATTATTAATGTGTCGTTGGCATTACTGAACTACATTTTTGGTATATTCCCCTTCTATTATTGACATTTTTTTCTGAGACAAACAGTACACAACATCAGAAAACTTTGATCTCCAATAAAAAAATAAACATACAATCATTGAATTCTGCAGAAAATTCAAGCATAACTAAGATTTTAAATAAATATAAATCATAATTTATTTTTAACTAAACATTGAATAGAAGGTGATCGGGCACACACACATACATACAGACAATAAGCATTTATAAATTGGATTATTACTTCAAATTAATTAAATTTAGCACATATAGTCCAGATAAAACTGTGTTAGTACATCTTTCACACATAATTCAGAAAAATACAAAATAACAACGAGAGTTTATCCAAAGAAGTGTATTAACTTGTATTCAAAAACACATAAACATCATCTTCTTTATTCTTTTAAATGTAAAATTATCATCTAATAAGCATGAATAATCAAGTTAAATTTTTTTTTTAATTTATCAAATAAAAATAAATAAAAATTATTGTTCTTGCAAATAGGTAACTTGAGCAATACACAGATAACAAAGCAATTAATGGCAATGCTAATTAGGTATATAAAACAAAATATATTATTAACATTACAAAACTAGTTTATTACTATTAAATTATAACTCTCTTTTAAATATAACATGAAACATTTTGTATAAAATATATTATAAACAAATAAATGAAATATAATACATTATATACAACTTTATGACAAGATAGATAGAAAATTTGGTTTATTAAACCAATATATTACTCAAACCAATTTTATTGGTTGTAATACAAAAATACTGAAGTAGTATTTTAATTTAGTTTTCAAATAACATTATTAAACATGGTTTCTTATAAATATACAGTTACTAAACTAAATGGTAATAAAACAACTTAAAAGTAATCAACTTATAATTAAGTCAATAGAAGATCACCTGAACAAAATAATATGATGATATGTTGTAAAGAGGTAATTCAACATATTATTTGCTTAAGTAGTTAAATAATTAAACTTCACATAAATGAAAACTAGTCAGAATTATAAAATGTCTTAAACTAAAAGTCATATATTTACACTTAACTTTCATTGGACATAGTTGAAAAAAAAATAATATGTACTTTTTAACTATCTATTTATTGACTAATTATAATTATGAGATGCTCCAGTGTATACTAGATAGTTTAATACAGAGAGTTCTCAAGTGGAAAGTGATTTATTTAATTAAATAGTAGTTCTATGTTTTTGTTAGAGATTAGCAAACAATTGTAAATTACAAAAAAAATGGACTAAAATAAGACATATAATGTTCAATACATCAAGAACTCTCTGAAATAAACAATAGCATCAATATTACATAAGGCATTCTTTAAAAACATGAATATTATAACTGGAATTGATCTATTTTTATGGAATAACAGGATTCCTTTAACACAGCCCTAACTTATATTTTGATTCCTTTATAGGATTAAAGAGCTCTAAATAAAAACAAAATTCTTATTAAATTGTTTTATATATTAAATAATCTCATAATTACAAAATTTAAAATAATACCGTTCAGTTCTATTAATAGTTATAATTTGTTAACTTATGTTAGCTTTCCACCGTAGCTGTTGAGGCATATCGAAATTTGGAATCGGCGTCTCCTCCATCACAGATATACTTTCCTGAAACATACACACAGACATTACATTTTTAAGCTATACCTTTATGTAACAATATAGATATATTCAATATTGAAAGAGAAACAATAAAAGATGAGTGCATAAAAATTGAATTATATACGATTCCTTATAAAATAATAACCAGTAAAAAGTTATATATTTTTTTGTACAGATATTAAAAAAACTTATTCTCATCAATCAAAGCTTCCTAGGATATTTAGTTCAACTAAGGCTCAAACACATACAATTATATCGCTGTCAGAGGAGAATGAAATAGCAAAAAAATTAATCGAATATTGAAATTTGTTTTATATTATTATAGGTACAACTTTAAATAATTTTGATACAAACCCCTTCTTCACATAAATGTCTAAAACTATTTTTATTTTTTTTTTCATATGTTCTCTCTCTCACTGCAAACCCCAACCATATTGTCTACAGTCAACCATTCCTTCACTATTATATAATAACATAAGAATAGACTAAATTTCAACCAATCTTTTAATATATTTAACCACTGTCCATGTTTCAATCATCATAATCACACTAATAAAAGAAGATATAAAGAACTATATCAGTAATAAAATAAGAAAAAGGTGCTCAGGTGAATGAGATACCTGTCCCTACAACTTTAAATAATTAAAATGTTACCTGACACAAATCTCTTCTTCACAAGTGATAAACGGTAACCATGACCAATTAATTGGAATTCTATTCCTGATAATGTTGCTCCTTCACAATTAAATTGAGCAGCAATAGTTGCCAATGAGCTAGGACCATTTGAAACTTCAAAACGCCCACGCAAAGACCCAACACCATGTTTGTCACAATGTAAGGACAGTTCAGTAAACTTCCATATAGCTCGCTGAGTTTCTTGCACCCTAAGAAAAAAATTACATCAACACATGAATTATTTAAGCAAAAGGTTATGAACTATTAAAACTTGGTTAGAATAATATATATAAATACTGAATGTTTTAATGTATAGGGTATCTGCAAGTGTGGTTAATCAAATTCCCTGATTTTTTCCTGCCTTAAATAAAATTTCTTGCACCTCCATACAAGGAAGAGGATAAAAAAGGTAAAATGTAATAACAAGTTTCTGTCACAATATCTAAAGTGATAACCAACTAGAGAATGATTCCCTGTAGGGACTAATTAGAATAAGGAGCGGCACCAGTCAGCACTTATTTGTGGTATCAATAGCAATGCTATTGTTAATAAATGCAACACAACAATTAGCAGATGTCTAACTGATTTTAAAACAGATATTTAGCCTTTATAGACACAAAGCACTCAATGTGCTCCTAGCAGAGTTGAAAAAATACTCTAGGCATAGTGGCCATCAAGAAGATGTGTTGGATAGGATCAGGAAGCTAAGAAAAGAGGAATCATGTAATATAATACAGCTGTCATGAAAAAAAAACAAAAAAACCTGTGTTTGGCATAGAGTTCATTGTTGGCAGATTTGAATGTCTAATTATTGACTTCAAACCTACCTATCACTGAATATGAATCATTAGAATCAAAGATAATTTCAAAAATTATTTTATAACAATACTACATTATGCACCAATTGAAGATGCGACCAACGTGGAAAAGGACGAATTTTAATCCTGGATTGAGCATTGGAACAATGTCCAAATTATAAAACAAAAATCACAGCTGGAGACTTCACGCAAAGCTGGATTGATAAATCTACTACTTTCAAATCATTGGGTTGCAATCACCGCCAGCAAACCAATGATAACAAACAAAGTAGTCCAGTCAATAAATGATTATAGATGGAAATGGAGTCGAAACAATTTTTGACTTTGTTACATTGTTTGGACTATTAAGGAGATAAACATACTAGAAGTTCCCACTCCTAGGTGGTGAGTCAGATGTGGTAGGAGTGCCTAGGTCACTTTTCGGGTTTTCGCTTATATCAGTAAAATTATCCATCGCATCGTCAAAGATTTTCTATATACAATTAAAGTTGATAACAATTGCAAAATGATTGATCATATGCCTTTTTTCGCTACCTCGATTAGTTTCGGAGATATCCGTCCTCAACTATGACTAATTTTGAAAAAAAAAAAAATGAAACAAAGATGAAATAGGGCATATTAAAAACAGATAACCAAGAAAATGTATTACCAATGAGCTGCAGGTTTGGTTTGCATATTAGTAACACCACCATCAACAGGCACAGCAATAGTTAAATTAAGTAAAGGTGATGGTGAAGACATTGCATGAGAATTGTATTTGTAGTCTATTTTCAAGTTAGTTTGGTTAACTTCTCGTTTCCAGTATGCAACAAGTTGTAATGGACAAGATTCAGCACCCACTTTAGGTTTAATCTGAAATAATTTAATAATAATAATTTTCATAAAATGATGTCAAGAACATCATGCAACAATTTATATTACCATACCTGATATTTTAATATATCTACATTAAAATATGAAGCATTTGGGTTTTGTTCAGACTGACGACGCAATAAAGCAGTTAAGGCACTCATATTGAATTCATATATACTTCCTTCCCTTATTGTTTGCACAGTATCACTAAATTAAAAATAATAATAAACTTTTAAAAATTGATATGTTATACAGTATGAAAAAGTTAAAGTAGTAAATCCTTATTTATTCCATGACTTAATTTATAATAAATGTTCAGCAATGTAACTACTGAGAAGGCATTGTCCTGCCAGGCAATATTGGCAAAACGGACTGAGCTGTTTCTGAAAGACTACTGCAGTATAAAGCAACTGCTATAATAGTTTTCTATGGCTATAAATACGCATCAAGGGGACTGAAAGACTATATAATATACTGGTCATTGTTGACTAAACATTTTCTTAATCTAAAGCTAACCGGTTAATCAAATTTTAGGTTCTATTGGGTCATAGATGACACTACATAGTACATACAATGGCTCACAGTCAAAATCATACATCTAGATATTGATAGAAATTATTGAATAAATAAATAGTTCAATTACATTTAATAGATAGACTGTGCAATAATATTTAAAGTAAGAAAAAACACCTTTCTTTTTACAGTGTCATATATTTATGTTTAGGAGTTTACGGTGCTCTGTACCATATTCATCTAAAAACATTTGTAAAGTACACATTAAATTAGAATATGTATACAATATACAATATACATACATAGCCATACAATAATTTAGAAAAATAGATTTATGCATTACATTTTTTAATTGTCACTCAGGAATCCGCCTATATTCCACCACCTTTACAATGCTCGTTCAATCCATTTTTGGATTTCGTTCTTAGTATAAATTTTATAAATCATTAAAGATTGGTGTCTAAATTTATTAACATTTTTCATTTGGGCTTTTCTATCTGTAAGTTAAAAGATATATATATATATATATATATATATATATATATATATATATATATTTTTTTTTTTTTTTTTTTTTTTTTTTAAACCATGGTGTAATAGGTCATTGAGTGTTATAATTTAGTCTATTTTAATTAACCAGAATCAAGAATTAATTTATAATATCACATACTATAGCAGGAGATAGGACCCCTGTTGTACTTTATTTTCCGGTTTGCAGTTTTACTCTGGGCTTTGAACATGTGTTATCATCAAAACTCCCACCTCAAAGCAACCATACCCCCCTCCACCGTTAAATTTAAGGAAGAAAAGTTAATTAAAAAAAAAAAATATATATATATATATATTTCCCTAAGACAGGCGGAAAAACATGTATATACATCCGAGACATCCACACATATATTCATATATACACAATAAACACACACCACACATACAAAAACCTCAATACATTTTCACACCATAAGTACGTATATACACATGGATATGTCATTGAAATTTTTATTTTATTTTTAATACCTGTCTTATTATTTGATTGTATTTCAAAAGAATATAATTTTTTTTTTTTTATCTTTTAACTTACAGATGGAAAAGCCCAAACAAAAAAAATTATGTAAATTTAGATACCAATCTATAATGATTGATAAAATTTATAATGAGAATGAAATCTAAAAATGGATTGAACGAACATAATTTATTTTATGGTTATATGAGTATATTGTACATATATTCTAATTTGATGTGTATTTTAAAAATATTTTTTAGATGAATATGATGCAGAGCACCGAAAACTCCTAAACATAAATATATGAGACTGTAAAAAGAAGGGTGTTTTTTCTTACTTTCAAATAGTTCAATTTATATTACATTAAAAACAATAATTTATTGTAATCAATAAACATCCTAGTAAAGTGCTATTTTCTTATGTTGTTTTATATTATTTTCTAATGTTATGTTTCTAGGTGTGGGGATGTATGGCGGCTTCTAGTGTAGGAAATCTTCACTTTATAGAAGAAATATTCACATGGTATAGTGAATAAAAATCCTTACATAAGGATTTTGAGAAGAAACTTGAAAGAAATTGTGAGCTATAGGAGAAGTTACTGTGAGAGCTGGAAGCAGAAAAATTTCCTGCCATTGTCTACTTGGTAACTTAGCATTTGAGGTTGTATCCAATAACAGAGCTGAAATAGAAAGGGTAATGAAGCCATGACACAAGCCATTCTTCTCATATAGAATGCAGTTATATAGAGTGCACCTACCATAATGAATATGGAAGGACAGAGAATAAGTTTAAGTAAAATAGTAAACTATCTTTCAGTCAATTTTCTCAGTGTAAGGTTAGGTAACGTCTCACTTTAACTGCCTTGCAACAAGACATATCTAAACATTTATATATACATATCAGTCCAAATAGCTAAGTTTTATTTTGTTTTTTATTTTTGTGAACTAGAATTTAAAATGTGTTTCCCTGGTTAGTATAGACCTCAGAAATACAAGTAATTATAGAGGCGAACAACATGTTTGATAAAGGAGGGCAGTGAGCAGAGCTTCCTGGATTTCTCAGTTGATTCCAAGCAGTGCAATTCAAGAGAGAAATAGTGAGAGTTATTAATACACCTAAGTTTAATCTCAATGTAAAGATCAAGAACTGTAGAAAATCCAGCAGAAAACAATAAGATGGGGGGAATAATACTTAAGGATTGTATTTGAAGTCAAGTGTTTTGATATTAATATTCTTGAAATTTAATGTAGTTATTAACTATTTATACTTTGAAATGATGAAAAAATTAATGCTTTATAATATGTTAGTAGTTGTATGTATTAAGTTGTGATTTTAACATACTTTATTAAAATTAAATTATAATACAAGAAAATATATAATGAAACTTACATATTAATAAGCTGCTTATTTGGTAAAATGTTTTCAATGTTAGATGAATTGTAAACCTTAAAAGACAATTGGGCTGGATTAGGGTTGCTGGTTAAAATACTAACAATACCAGCAGGAAAAGACACCATCATATCACCACAAAGTTTAACTTGACACCTAAAATATATTTAAAAGATAATAAGATTTTGAATTCACAGCATTATTTAAAAAAAATTAATATCTGAATATATGCTTACTTATCTTCATCAGTTCCTCTAAAATAAGAATGGATAATTTCATGGAATGCAACGGCAAGAGGAATGGTATCAGCAAGGCCGATAGTAAGAGGGGATGGCCCTCTAGAAGATCCTAAAGGAATACCAGAAGCTCTGAATTCTAAACTATCACCATGTGTTAAATTTCCAGGTAATGGACTTCTTACACCACCCTGAAACAAATAATACACTCACTAATGAAAGTCTGAAAACAGAAAAGAAAACTAATTTAAAACATATAAACCACGTTATAATATAATAATATAGTTATATGAGTATACTTAATAATTTGTCAAAGACCAATCGGGGTTACATTAAAAAAAAAATGTGTGCATAACACGACTTTCACTTACCATCCTATTCTTAGCAGAAATAAGTATTTTCAGACAAAGGGGAAGTGAAACTAATTATAGATGCTATATTGAACTCCATTGAACACCAAAATCTTACTATCCTCATCCTTTTAGATTTTTCAAAAGCGTTTGACACAGTTGACTATAACATCCTACTTAGTAAATTGCATAATATTCCTCTATCCAACAGTGTCCTCTGTTGGTTTAAATCCTTCCCTTCAAAGGCCCAGTATGTAGTAGTCCCAGGTCAACCTTCATCTAAGACCCTTCCCCTCTCCTGTGGTATCCCACAAGGTTCCTCTCTATCTCCTACTTTGTTTGATATTTATATTAATGACCTTCTCCTCATGATCCATCACTCCTAATACCATATCTATGCAGATGATTTCCAAATATACCTGTCCTTCCCGCCCTCCGACCTATTATCTGTCACAGAAAAACTTCAAGAAGACTTGGATAGAATTTGTGACTGGGCGAGAGCTAACTAAGTTGAAGTTGAATGTGGAAAAGACGAAGGCAAACCTAATAGGCTCTAATCACCTCCTTAAAACTGTTCCTAATATTCCAACTCTGTTCCTGCATGATAATCCCATCAAATTTTACCCCGCTGTCAAAAACCTTGGAATAACATTCGATCAAACGCTTTCCTGAAAAAAACCATGTATCCAAAATTTCCCGCCGTACCATTTCCACTCTAAAACGTCTAAATTATTCTCGTCACCTATTTCCATTTGAAACCCGTAGGCTCCTAGTCGCTTCCTAAATTTTCTTCCACTTTGACTATTGTTGTTCAGTATATGGGGGCGTCTCAGAGAATCTCGAGGCGAAACTAATCATAATCATAAAAGGCTTAGCGAACCCGAAGGTTAACAGTACCAGATCATCAGCATAGCCCAGCACAGATGTTGTCCCACCCAGATCCAACCCTTTCTTGGTACGCATTACCTCCCTAATGGCATGATCTAATGCCAAATTGAACAGGACAGGCGAAAGGGAATCCCCCTGTTTTAAACCCGAACAAACCTCAAATTTTTCCGACAGATTATTACCGATTCTAACTTTATTGAGTGTCTCCGTCAAGCACATCCTGACTAGATTTACTAGTTTTTTTGGAATCCCCTGCTCGATTAGAATGTTATACAGTTTCTGGCAGTCAATAGAATCGTAAGCCTTTTTAAAATCTATATACAGCTTGTGAACAATACCGTTCTACTCCAATTTTTTCTCTAATATTTGCCGTAAAGAAAATATTTGATCAATAGTCGAACGATTCCGTCTAAATCCGCATTGGTAGTCTCCGATAATTTCCTCGGCGTATTCCGTGATTCGACTGGTTAAGATATAAGTGAATATTTTATAACATACCGGAAGGAGTGAAATTCCTCGATAGTTATTACAATCCGTCCTCGGACCCTTTTTGTGAATCGGAATAAGAATAGATTCTTTCCATTCGTCAGGTAATTTCTCATTCACCCAGATCTTTTTAACCAACCGATGTATTTTAGAAACTCCAGCTTCCCCGCATGCCTTAATTAGTTCAGTAGGAATATTATCGGTTCCCGTTGCTTTATAAGATTTTAATTTTCCGATAGCTACTTCAACTTCCTCTTTACTCGGTTCTTCTATCAACGGTTCAGCACTCTGGTACTCAGAAGGACGCAGATCATAATTTCCCGTATTTAAAATACTGTCAAAGTGGTCCTTAAACTTATTCAATATGTCAACCGGATCGGTCAGAATATTATTATTATCATCCCTAATTCCAGACGTTACGGGCTCTCCCTACACATTTACGTGATCTGTTTATACCTTTGTACATGTCTCTTACGTTCTTTTCGATTCTATTAGTTTCTATTTCAATTATTTTATTTTTAAGATACTCCTTTTTTTTATTTTTGAGCAATTTTGTCATTTGTTCTTTGAGGTTCGGAAGTATTCCAGATTGTCTTCGCTAGGATTATTTAGAGCTTTTAATTTAGCAGCTTTTCTTTTTTCACACATGTTTAAGCAATCTTCATCAAACCACGGTTTGTTATTCTTATTTTCCTTTTTTAGTAGACACGAGTTACCGGCCGCTTTGATATTATTCCTGATCTCTACCCATAACTTGTCAATATCTTCGTGGTCCTCGTCAGGAAGCTCTAAAGCTTCAAACCTGTTCTTAACATCTAGCTCGAATTGGGTTCTAATTGATGGATTTTTTAATTTTTACAAATTAAAATCCTCAAAATCGAAACAGTTTTCTTTTCTCTTTTTTATATTAAACTTTTGTCGAAGTTTCGCGATTACTAATTCATGATCCGACCCACATTCTGCTCCGCGATAAGACCGTACATTAATTATACAGCTATGTTGTATCAAGACATGATTGATTTGATTTCGTGTTTGCGAATCCGGTGATGTCCAAGTATATTTATGAATATCCTTATGTTTAAACATCGTACTTTTAATTATCAGGTTTTTCGAGATGGCAAAGTTTATCAGACGAATCCCATTATCATTACTATATTCGAAACTAAAACATTTGATAAATTGCTTTGTACTCTGTTTCTCATTTGTAAGCAGAGTTGAAGTGGCTTTATCCTTCCTACCGTTGTAAATATTTCCTGGCATCCTTCTTCTTTCAAGTCATCCAATCCTACCGGCCTTCATACATCTCTCAGCTCCTTCAATTCAAATCCTCTGTTCGTTCCTGCAATAATCGTTCCCGGTCTTCTGATTTATACATAAGGGCCCACCAAACCGCTGCTTTCATCATTATCCGATCCTCATCCTTTTGGAACTCCAATCCTTTTCTCACATTAGTCAATGTAATACCCTTCCGACCTTTAAATCCCGCCAGTTCAATCATTTCTTATCCATCAAATTGTAAATAGATACTAATGTAAATATGTATATAAATTATTAGTTTGTTCTTCATTATTTTTACTTCATCCTTTTTTTTTTTTTCAATTTTTTTATTTTTTATTATTAACAGATTAAAATTAGAAAGTTACTTATAATTTTTCATTTTTTTACTATGACTGTTCAATTACTCTGTATTTTTATTTATGTATCTCTAAGGCTCCTTAGCCCATATTTATGTCTTTCTGTATTATTATAAAGGGACTCATCCCAGGATAAATAAAGAATTATTATTTGTTTAATTACACTTATGTATACAAATTTTAATTTTTATAGTGCTGTAATCTATATAATTAAATATTAAATAATACCAACGATAGCATTTCTGAAAGCCGCATATGTATATGTACATAATATTGTCGGATTTCATATTAAGCTCGTGTTACTAATGGAAGCCTGTTCTAATCTTTCGGACGAGCTCGTATTCCTATGGTTCCTCCATTACAACTGTTATCTGTTACAATGTCTTATTTTCCCTTTAATTAATTATCAAATTCTTTCATATTTTATATTCAACTATTTTTAATGATAAAGAATAATGTGAAATGGTTAATTATTTCAAATAAAAAAAAATAAAGGTACTTTAGAGGAGCTAATATAGAAACAGCCATTTAAGCCCTGTTAAACAACATCAATCAGAATAAAACCTATATTATAATAAAACTGCTAAATAATACCCTGATATACTGAGATTAATCAAAATCGTTAGAGCCGTTTTAGAGAAAATCATAAAAATGTGTTGCAGCAATGATATGAAGTACCACTTCTGGTTTACCGATTATGACGAAAATGTTACTGTAATATCCAGGCTTATAAAAAACTCAAATATGCAATTTCAGTTTTGTACAACTTTTGAGCTAGGCTGTTCATATACATACACGCACACGATTTTGTGGGACTTGGTTATTTGGACTCAGAGGACTTCGCATCATGTATTTCCGTTGAAAACTCAGATTCGAAAATTTTCACGATTGCAATACTTACCCTTGCTATATATTACATATATAAGCAAGTAAAAGTAAAAAGTAAACAAAATGTTTTCTTCCATTAGGCAGTCAACATTTAAGCCTAACTTTATAGATAACCTTAAAGGCTATAGCAGCTGTAGTGTGCTAAATCATTATTTGTTGGCTGGTAAATAAAAAAGAGCTTATTTACTTATTTTTTAAAATTATATTTTGACCCTGACTGATTCCTAATAAAGTATTATTTGGGATTTTAAAAAAAAAGCTAATTACTTTTTTTTAAATTTTATTTTGACCCTGACTGATCGCTAATAAATTATTATTTGTTATTTTATACAATAGAACTGTATCTCAATTTTAAAATTAATTTTGTATCTTAAAACAGGCGGTTATTGAGGAATTGACGACTAACTACTTTTACATTTCTCTATTATATAAAAAAGATTTTTGTGACTTTCATATTTTATTTCAATTTAGTATTAGGAGAGTATGAGATTACAGGAACTCTCCTATTAGCACTAATTATACAGCTGTTCATTTAATTACATATGTGTTGAGTTCCTGCAAATTCTTATTCTCCTAATACAAAATATATTTGCACCCTGGTGTCTTTGTAACGGTATTGACCTCCTGTAACATCCCACTCTCCTAATACAAAATAAAGATTTTAGACCAAAAATTTGTATGGAAAATGGTAATCATCTGGAGGAGGTAGTTTGATTTTACCTAGGTGACAGTAATTATTTTTTGATCTAAACATTTTTCCCTTAAATAAAATTTATTAATTATTATATTATATTGTGATATAATTATAATTATTATGAAATAGAAAAGGAAGCACAATCAAAATACTAGAAATAAAAGGTTCAAATTGATGTTGGACTTATATGAAGCTGGACAAGTTGAATATATATTATGATTACAAATTGGCAAAACGGTGCAATGGATAATAAAGATTTTTTAAGGAATTAAAATTTTGTCCGAACCGTGGTCTTATTCAATTTATTTTAAGTTGATAAAAAATAATACAATCTGAACTACAGAAAACATATAAATAACAGATATACAATCTGAGCTTTGAGTAGTAAAAGTAAATGAAAAGTTGTAAAATGGGGTTGGTCCGCCATTAGGCGGACGGGACGTGGGAGGGGAGGTACGAGTACACCCCTAGTTATGTATAATGAAACATGAAATGTTAATATAATCGGTAAAAGCTAGAAATATAATTAATATTTCATCAAATATTAATTTACATAAGAATTAACATGAAATTATATTAAAAACAAGTTTTACAATTAAAATAAATTTAATTAAACAAAATATGTATAATTTATACCTTTGGAGCCTAAATATGGGCAAAAATCTAATTTGATTTACTCGTTTCATAAAGATACTGACTCATATTTTTACAAAAATATGTATTTGCATACCAATCTGGGCCTTAATGATATGGTATAACTATGTCATTATCTACTAATACAAATGATTGACCAATAGGTTGGAACATTAAGTAATGCAATATAGCATAAGAAGTTAATTATATTTTACCTTATCTTATAATTATACTTTAGAAATGATTGTTATTAACATAACTATTATTGCAATTTTCATTAAATTAATAACATTTTATACATAAAACAATTATAGATTTGAATTAATTGAATAAAACAATTGTTGCTTTATTTGAATAATGCTACTAGGTTATTTTATACTGCTTTCACTGACATATATTATAAACCAGTTTCTATAAATAAGTCATTTCTTTAACAATTCATGTAACTTACTTCACTTCTCCTGGAAGGTGGCCTTGGAATAATTATCCCTGAAGCAGAGGTAGGAGTGGAACTTTGATTTGTTCTAGATGGAGGACCTTGTATATCCCCGACTTCACTAAAAAGATCTCCAATTTCTTAAATAAAACATATTAAATATAGTTAATAATTTAATAAATAAAGTGTGGTAAATAAACATTATAATTGATAATCAAAACTTACTTGTTTTTGAGCAATTTTAAGTTTTAAACCTAAGGGACTGTACATACATTAAAGTCTTACAGGGAGTGCATATAACATAATATTTAACTAAAGATTTAAAACAAATCATGTTTTATTAAGGTTGTTGGCCATTTATGAATGAACTAACTGAACAATTGATAACAGTAATTAACTTCAACAACCTAAAACATTAATAAAAAAATAAATAAATTACTTAATTATAATTAAATTATAAATGTGTTTAAAAATTATACATGTACTTGTAGAGTTAAAAATTCTGAACACTAACTTAACAAGGTGCAAGGTAATGCTGTTCGTGAAAGCTGATTGAGGATGTAATGTCCCATAAGTTTGTGTGTTGATACAGGGGGGCAGATGAGGAAATCTAGAAGACTATATCTATTTTTTGACAGGAAAAGAGGAAAAGACTATTTGGGAGCAATATTGTGATAATCAGTACATTGAATTATGTAAAAAAAATTAATGAAATAATAAACTATCAATATAAATTAGTAATGTACTAATCAAGAGACAGAACATAAATGTTGGATTATAATTGGAAAAATTCTAAAGCCACACAGCCATACATCTCCGAAATGCAGGCAAAGAAAAAAGCCTGTCAACGTTCCTTCAATTCAGACATCATCAGGACAGAAAAGAACTACTAATCATTACTCCATGACATCCAATCCCATACTTGCTACTGGTGAAACATTGACGGTTTTTTTTTTTTTTTGCCTGCATTTATGAGATAAGGTTGTGTGGTTTTGGAATTTTTCCAATTATAACCTAACATTAATGTTCTGTATCTTGATTAGTATGAACAACCTAATAAACTATTGTTTTATAACAATAATTATAACTATATTTACCAAAAACCACTTATTATCAATTTAGCAAAAATATCTTCAAGGATTTTTTTCAAAAAGTAATACAATGAAGAAAAAAAAAATGTAATAAGTCATCAAGGAAACTGAAGGTTAGCAGACTGAGAAACCATCAACCTAATTGATTACTTAAATGCATATGCCCCCACAACAAATGAAATATTATTAATATTTATGACAAAAACTGTAATGATATTTATGTTCTTCATAGAGTAAATGATAAAACAGGCTCAAATAATTTTTCAGGGCACATTTGAGGAATCACATTCATTACAAGTAAAACCTGCCCATCTGCCTGTCAGCAGAATCAAAATTCAATCCAGGGATAAATGGAATGGAATTTCCTAAGCAAAACAATGTTGAAAAAAGTGGAAGGTCATGCCTTATGAGGAATGCTATGGCAACTTATAATGATAAGACTTACCACCTAATACTGTAAAAAAAATAAATAAAATAAAATAAAAAGGTATACATAAAAATAGACAAATAATGACAATGGAAGGAATAATAAACCAGGCTCCTTAAGAAAATATTAGTAATAGAAATAAATGAATAAACAAATAATAAATAAAAACATAGAGGATTGTGGTGGTGGTAGGTGTTCTAAAAATTAAAACACCAAATCCGTCTCACCCACCCAATGATAATAAGCAATGGTGTCTTTGCTAATTAATTAATTTTAAAAATGTTAAAGTAATATAAATTTATGAGGGTTGTAGGAATAGAATGTGGAATAGCAGTAATGATGATGTGTAGGAATCACAGGAATGATTTGTATTTATATACATTATATATCATATATACAGAGTGTTTCGTAATTGCACGGCACTATTTTAGGTATGAGTTTAATAACACAAAATAAACAAAAAAGTTCATATTAACATATATCTCAAAATCATTTATTAAACAGATATCAAAGGTTGAAGATTTATTGTTTATTTACTACATTAAGACTGACTGAATAAAGTTTAATGTGTTTAATACTAAATAACAGGTTTTAATCATCTGATAAACAAATGAACGATGAGCAATGACAGTAGTTGCTCATCTATTTGTCTAGCTCTGTGTTTTAGTGTGAGTGAATACCTGACACAGTTCAATTTAAGATTATCATGGGAGACACCATAAATTTATTCACTTTTACAGAACAAACAGACATGCTTTTAACTTATTAATAAGCTAAGCAATCTTTAACTTATTAATAAGCTAAGCAATCGGATCATTGAAGCTGCAGTAACTATCAAGCACCATCCTGATGCTATACGAAGAGCCTGAGAAGCATGGATTTGTCATGCTGAATGTTGCATTCAACAAAACGGAGGCCCCTTTGAACAGTTACTCTAAATGTTGTTATAATAATAAATAAATAATAATAATGAATAATAAATCTTTAACCTTTGATATCTGTTTAATAAATGAGTTTGAGATATGTGTTAATATGAACTTTTTTGTTCATTTTGTGACAGTGAACACATACCTAAAATAGTGCCTTGCAATTCCGAAACACTCTGTATGTATATATATATATATATATATATATATATATATATATATATATATATATATATATATATATATATATATATATAAAAGATTACGAGTCTCTTGAACTGAAGAACTTAACAATACTAGCTTCGCACGCTAGCCACTACACCAACATTGTCCTAAATATAAACTGCTGTTCAACATAAAGTCCACCTTAATGTACAGTGTCTTATGAGGAAAAATAATGTTTTTATTTCCACTTGTAAAACTGGAGACCCGGGGTCAGATATATTTTAAAAGCAGGCACAACTCACCTCCAAATGTCCCAACGTTAATGAAACAGATCAACTTTAGCCGATTGTTCAAACTTGTCTTTTAACGTTGCAGTGGTGCAGCTCGATGGACGTTCTCTTGGAGAAAATAATGTCCCAGATGTGGAAAGTGGCCCATCACCATCTGGAGAGGCAAACCTTGGGTTTTTTTCCAGAGAGATTGTGATGGGAAAAGAGCCATTGTGAGTCATTCATGCAGGCCGCCATAAATGTCTTTCCTCCTTCATATCATGTTACAAGCGACAAGAGAAGAGATTTTCCAGAAGTATCCGATGATTTCATCACTGGGACGTATTGGGTACACTTAATATTTATGATACAATAAGAATATAATTACATACACATAAAGTGGTTTACCATATAATGATATGGAAAAATAAAAACAAAATACAAATAACCTGTTGGTTTTTTAATGTTTTTAGAAAAACTTAAAACCATTAAAGGTACAAAAGCTTGGGTAATCACAAGTAGTCAAAAGATAAATGAGAATAAGAGACTTTTGAAGATTTGCTACGGACAGAGCCAAATAGGGCAAGCTGTTAATGGAGGCCAAGGTCCTATATGAGCTGTAGTACCAATATTTGAGTGAGTGGGTGACTTTTAAAACTCGGTCTGATAGTAGCTGGTAAAGCATGAGAGGGGGTAGATGAAAAGAGAATATTCACGGTTTCTACATTTTCATAAGCTTCTTGCGAAGCCCTCAACAGACTAATCACTTTAAGATTAAGACTATTGAAGAACTGGAATAACCAGACAAGGATAAAATAGCAACATTAGTTCAGCACCAAACAACACACCAGGTTACAAAACTTCCATTTGAAGTATTTGAAAATGGGAAGTACTGAATTATTACAAATATAATTTGAAATATAGTGACCATTTCTATATCTATATGGTGGTATTTAAAAATAATTATTCCTACTAAAAAGTGTGACTGGCTGAATATTAGTTGTCACTGTGACATCTAAATCCTCACAAGAATTACAAAGCAATATAACCTATACAATAAGCAGTAAAAGACAAAATAAAATAATAATAAATAAACTGGACACCTTGGTTTTTCATACAATTTTAGTTAATATGTTTTTTTTATTTTTGGTAAAAATTAGTTTCTTCATGATATTTAATGTTTACTACAAACATATCATTTTGATAAATAATAAAGAGAAGAATAGTTGGGGTGAGAAAGCAACAATAAATATTATCATTTATTTTTGCCTTCTTATTTGACTGATCACCCCACCCCAACTATTCTTCTCTTCATTATTCACGACAGTCAACCATTACCACAATTATTGATAAATAATAATGTACAAATACATCATAAAAAATAAAAACAAACTTTTTTTTAACTACTTCAAGCACTGCTGCAATTTATTGAATGCGCGGCATACTCTTGCTAAAAACTAACTCTGGCAGCTTCTTCATTCCAAAGAATCATTATCCTTGACCAAAATAGAAAATTAAGTTGCTTAATGACAAAAACCACTTACAGTTGAGTCAGATAAAGCAATCTTAAGACGAACAATTATCTTCTTTGTATATACACTAATCCAGAAAATGTTATTTAATGGACATAATAATTTAGTCCTACTCTGTAATAACTCAATTACCCACCAAAACAAACACATTACCCATAATCAGCCATTAAAGTAAACAATATAGGGATTATTTGCTGCAGAGGATATAATATGTGCATATGTTACCTCATGCAAAATGAGTGATGGTTAAATACTAAAAAAATACGTAGCAGACAAAGTTAGTACTCCCTGCAATAATCTTGAAAGAAGTCAAAGATATAAAATTTAAATTCACATCAAATTTCTACATATATTTTAAGAGTGCCAACAAACATACAAATCATACATAGCTTTGTTTAGCTATAGCAATAGCTGTGAAATATAGCAGAAAGTTGAGCTAGAGAAAAATGAAAAAAAGTTTATAAAGAAACAATGCAGTAAAAATGTTCAGGACTAAAGAAATACTTAATGTATATCCATAACAGTCATACAATACAAGTTCAATCCAATCTATAAAACAACAGAGACAGGGAAAAAAAGGAATACATGTTAATTATATTAGCCAAACCTCTAACTTTACCTGAATATCTATTTGATGCTGGAGGTGTTGGACTTTGAAGAGGAGCATAAGGATGATTACCAGTAGGGGTTGAAGCACTGGAACCAGTCGGACTTTGAACTAAGTTCATGTTAGTTAAGTCCGATGCTGTTTTCCTAAATAAAATAAAATGAAAATTAAATATATGACATTCATAATACCATTAATAAGAACTGAAAACATTCATCAATATTTCTCCATTTATGGATTACATATTACATATGGTGTGTCTCCTTCATCAGCACTGTTTCAATATTTCATTTTCAAGAATAGCCAAAACTATATTTGTAGTTGAAGATACAAATATAGCTTAAACATTACCAAAAAATGTTATTCTCAACAAATGGGATATCAGAAACAAAATTTTATGCAATTAACACTCATGATTAGGGAACTGTTGTGCAAAACGTTAAAATATTAATATAGCATTTATGAGCTTGTGTACAGTGAAGCAGATATTGCTGTCCCTTCATCTTAGTTGGTTTTATCAGATGGTTGGGGCATGTGGGGAGGATGATAGCAGATCAGATGCCAACAAATTGGAGGAACTGTCAGGAAACAGAAAAGTGGTGACAAATTGTTGAGAAGGCACAAGTCCATGGTAGACCATAGCACCAAAGAAATATATAGTTATGTTCTTGTATAATGTTATAATTGCATATATTTATTTTATCTTTAAAATTATCTAAATTTCAGAGCATTTTTAAAATAATGTATAACAGACCACGGTGAATAAATAGTTGCAAACTTCAGACCAAGTTCATCATTAGTAGTGTTATTATTATTCAAAACCACTGAAATGAGTTTTATATAGCATTTTTGAGTCAATTGTAGCACCTTCCAAATCAATTGTAACCTTTCCTATTTCAATTGTAACCCAACCGGACATAAATTTATTCATAAATATTATATTTTATTTATTTTTACTTTCTAACCGATAGGTAAAGGAAGTATTATAATTGAGTAAAATTTTCTATATGTGGTTTACAATGGATCTTCACATTTCAGAGCTATACGAGTCCAAAAACCATATTTTCAGCTATTGGTCTATCTGTACCTAGATTATTAAGGGAATAGGTGGACTAATTTTGTTGCTTCTTATGAAGAAAAAATTCTATTTTTTTCGATCCACTTTAATGCATTCCAAAACAATTTCATGGGTGTACAAGAGGTATACATTATTGTTTATTCACCAAACATTGTTATTTGTCCTTTATTGATATTTAGTAAGTTTTTAAAGATAATTTTACTTACCTTTTAATTGGCATTTAGAAATAAAAATCTGTTTGCCACTGAAAATAAGAAGTTAGACCATCATGAAACAAACAACTCTCTAAAATAGTAGATAAAAATATATCCAATTTAAAAATAGTTGGTGACAACCCCATAATTACATCCACACAACTTCAAGCTCCAACACACAGCCATCTGTGATTTCATAAAATCCTTTACTGTAGTCATTCTTTCTAATATTTACAAAAAGAAAGTAGGTTCTTCTAAACATTTTCTTGTTGGTAAGTAATAAATTAGTATGTCATTACCAACAGTAAAAAGAATTCTACTATACTATAGTTTACTTGTTTTAATATAGTATTCTACTATTTTATATTAAGGTATGAAGGGAAGACGTTAACAGCAATCAATGAAAATCTTGTACATTCATAATTTAACTTATTAAACACTCTACAGCATATTAATATAAATAATAATAATAAGGCTTAGCGAACCCGAAGGTTCGATGCCGACACCACCAATCGCTTGTTACACACCTCCCTCCACCGTTCGCCGTCCAAACCCAGTCCCTTCAGATCGGCTTTAATGCAATCTTCCCACCTTCGCTTCGGTCTACCCCTCGGACGCTTACCATTCGGCACAGCAAATATTAACCTTTTAGGAATTCTCTCGTTACAAGCCCAACAACTTTACAAGCCCATTTGATTCGCCGCGATGAAATTACCTCAATTATATTACCCGGATACAGCTCACGCAATTCGGCGTTGTGTAACCGTCTGAACTCTCCGGTTAACTCATCCTTCTTCGGTCCGAATATTCTACGCAATACTTTATTTTCAAAAACCTTAAGACGCTGCTCATCCCTTAATGTAAGCGGCCAAGTTTCGCATCCATAAAGAACTGTAGGCAAGATAATTGTTTTATAGATTCTAATTTTTAAGTTTCGGGACAAGAGGCGCGAACTAAGTAGTTTTGTCACAGAAAAATAACAAGCATTCCCCGCCTTCAGTCTAACCTTAATCTCTTCTTCAATTTCGTTTTTTCTAGTTATCGTAGAACCTAGATACCTAAATTTATCTACCTGTTCAAACATATTACCATCTATATCGATATCACCAGTAGTATCGCCATTTTTGCAGCTAACCATATATTTTGTTTTATCCACGTTTATTTCGAGTCCTAGTTCTTTACCGGCTTTCATTAACGTTGTCGTATTTAGTTTTATAGTTTCAACGTCTTCGCTTAACAGTACCAGATCATCAGCATAGCCCAGCACGGATGTTGTCCCGCCCAGATCCAACCCTTTCTCGGTTCGCATTACCTCCCTAATGGCATGTTCTAATGCCAAATTGAACAGGACAGGCGAAAGAGAATCCCCCTGTTTTAAGCCCGAACGAACCTCAAATTTTTCGGACAAATTATTACCGATTCTAACTTTATTGAGTGTCTCCGTCAAGCACATCCTGACTAGATTTACTAGTTTTTTTGGAATCCCCTGCTCGATTAGAATATTATACAGTTTCTGGCGGTCAATAGAATCGTAAGCCTTTTTAAAATCTATATACAGCTGGTGAACAATACCGTTATACTCCAATTTTTTCTCTAATATTTGCCGTAAAGAAAATATTTGATCAATAGTCGAACGATTCCGTCTAAATCCGCATTGGTAGTCTCCGATAATTTCCTCGGCGTATTCCGTGATTCGACTGGTTAAGATTAAAGTGAATATTTTATAACATACCGGAAGGAGTGAAATTCCTCGATAGTTATTACAATCCGTCCTCGGACCCTTTTTGTGAATCGGAATAAGAATAGATTCTTTCCATTCTTCAGGTAATTTCTCGTTCACCCAGATCTTTTTAACCAACCGATGTATTTTAGAAACTCCAGCTTCTCCGCATGCCTTAATTAGTTCAGTAGGAATATTATCGATTCCCGCTGCTTTATATGATTTTAATTTTCCGATAGCTACTTCAACTTCCTCTTTACTTGGTCCTTCTATTAATGGTTCAGCACTCTGGTACTCAGAAGGAGGACACAGATCATAATTTCCCGAATTTAAAATATTGTCAAAGTGGTCCTTAAACTTATTCAATATGTCAACCGGATCGGTCAGAATATTGTTATTATCATCCCTAATTCCAGACGTTACGGGCCCTACATATTTACGTGATCTGTTTATACCTTTGTACATGTCTCTTACGTTATTTTCGATTCTATTAGTTTCTATTTCAATTATTTTATTTTTAAGATACTCCCTTTTTTTATTTTTGAGCAATTTTGTCGTTTCGTTCTTTGAGATTCGGAAGTATTCCAGATTGTCTTCGCTAGGATTATTTAGAGCTTTTAATTTAGCGGCTTTTCTTTTTTCACACATGTTTAAGCAATCTTCATCAAACCACGGTTTGTTATTCTTATTTTCCTTTTTTCCTAGACACGAGTTACCGACCGCTTTAATATTATCCCTGATCTCTACCCATAACTTGTCAATATCCTCGTGGTCCTCGTCAGGAAGCTCTAAAGCTTCAAACCTATTCTTAACATCTAGCTCGAATTGGTTTCTAATTGATGGATTTTTTAATTTTTCCAAATTAAAATTCTCAAAATCGAAACCGTTTTCTTTTCTCTTTTTTATATTAAGTTTTTGTCGAAGTTTCGCGATTACTAACTCATGATCCGACCCACATTCTGCTCCGCGATAAGACCGTACATTAATTATACTGCTTTGCCAGCTGTGTTGTATCAAGACATGATCGATTTGATTTCGTGTTTGCGAATCCGGTGATGTCCAAGTATATTTATGAATATCCTTATGTTTAAACGTCGTACTTTTAATTATCAGGTTTTTCGAGATAGCAAAGTTTATCAGACGGATCCCATTATCATTGCTATATTCGTGCAAACTTTCTTTACCAATCGTCGGAATATAAACTTCTTCCCTTCCTACCTTTGCGTTCGCGTCACCCACAATTATTTTCATGTAGTTTCGCGGTAGTTTATCATAAACCCATTCGAGTTTATCGTAAAATTAACTTTTGACTTCATCGTCACTGTCTTCGGTCGGACAATGTATGTTTATTAATGCGATTTTAAACCAACGTCCCTGAAATGTAGCTACCGAAATTCTATCACTAAAGAATTGTACGTCCCTCAAAGCGGATAGTAATCTACTCCTAATTAGAAACCCGGTACCTAAACAATGATTCCCGCTTCCTCCGTACCAAATAGTGTACTTCCCTTCCCTAATCGAGCCCTCCTCTGGCCAGCGAACCTCTTGCAGAGCCACGACATCCAAATTGTACCCGCGACCGATTTTAGCCCCCCTGCTGTGTTTAAACTCCTTACGTTCCACGTACCAATATTTAAATCCCTATATTTCAACTTGCGCCATGAATCCTCTAAAGCAGTCCCCACCCGGAGACCCGAACGGGGGACTAGTTTACCTCCGGATAATGAGCGTTTTACCTTAGGGAGATCCATGACTTTTTGTGGTGTTTGGTGAACTAAAGATATGTGAGTAGGGCGTTCAATCCTACGTCACACCCTCCAGCAAGTCTGGTGGGCCCCTACCTCCAGCAAGTCTTGAGGTCCCCTCCCTCCAGCAAGTCTGGAGGGCCCCTCTCATTGTTGGTCAGCGAGTCCATCGGACTTAGCCGGGAGGAACTTCCAAGGAATTTCCACCGACAATCCCCACATCCGCCACCCGTGGGACGCTCCCCATACGCGGTAATGAGCCCGCACGAGGATATTATTATTATATTATTATAAACGATCTATTTATTGAGCATTCGATCTCAACAACAGGGAATTAATTAACACTTTAACGAGCACAGCGGGCGTATACACCTGCTCACTGATATACCCAAGGGACCCGCCAATGAGTTCGACAAACAAGCTTGTTTTTGAGAAGGAATTAGTCGAGGGTGCGGTCAAAAAAATAAAAAAAATTAAAATATATAAATAATTTTAATTTTTGCCGATAGGTATAATAGGGTAACATTAGTGTAATATTGTTGGGATAGATTATTAAGTATAAATAACTCTATAAGAAAACAATAATTTTAAAAGAATACTTTAAAATGTAAGAATAAATGTAAAAACAAGGTTATGATGATAAAGAAACAAAAAACAGGTTGTACTATATATAGATGACAATTGACATTTAGTTTTTTGAAAGCGGTAATGGAATGGTAGGCTGTATGAAGATAATAATAAGGTGTATAGTTGAAGGATAGGTGTGTTAAGAAAGGAATCTCAATAAAAGTCAAAACATACCGTTGGATGTGGCACTGCGGGAGGCGGTTGAAACACTGGCAGTGTCAAAAACTCTAGTTAGCCGTGTCAAAAAAAGTTCTAGTAAAAATAAACGCATACATACATACACATACAAATACACACACACACACACACACACACACACACACACACACACACACACACACACACATATATATATATATATATATATATATATATATAAAAGGAAAAGTAAAAGAAAGTATAAATGGAAGTGAGAAGATTAAATAGAGGTTTATGATCGAGACTTTTTTAAAATGTTGATGATTTGGGAGTAGGCGAGTGATAGATTTTGCTTGTCAGTTTTTAAGTTAACTGGTTTGTAGTCTAATTCAATGAAAACACTTTCCGTAAGTAGTCTTTTGTCGTGGTTAGGTACTGTGGCAAGAATGGAGGTATTGTCAAAGTCAAATGTGTGGTGTGAGGTTAAGGCGTGTTCAGAGAGTTTAGAAGCAGTAGAGTTCTTAGAAGTAATTGAGTATTTGTGTTGTTTGATGCGGTCTTTAAGTTGGTTTTTGGTTTCTCCAATATAGGCAGAGTTACAATTGGTGGTAGGGCAAGGAATGCGGTATACGATATTAGAGCGGTGTTGCGGAGGGATGGGGTCTTTTAGGTTGAAGTAAATATTGGCAAGTTTGTTATAGTTTTTAAAAACAACTCGCAGGTTGGGAATAGAGGAACGTAAAGATTTTTTAATTCTATCCGAAAGTAAAGGGATGTATGGTAGAGATCTATATAAAGGAATGGGGGGCTGATTTTGAGAACTAGAGAAAGGGATGGAGGATGAGGGGCAATTATTTTTTTGACCGCACCCTCGACTAATTCCTTCTCATATCATATCAACGGTCAACTATCTCTACATCATTAAGCTTGTTTTTGTTTAAATTTCCAAAAATAATCTAAACAGAATGTATGCACATAAGAAATAACCACCAAGAGTAAAAATAGGAAAATTAAAATTAAAAACTGTAATATCCTAATGAACAATGGCAGGCATATACGCCTCCTTTTTTTTTTTTTAAATTATCGTGATTAAATAATTACAAAAATTATACTTTTTATAACAGTATATTATCATTTTTGAGAGAAAAAACAATTTGGTCAATGGAGAAAGTTTCACTGGAATGGCTTGTTTGTTAAAGCATTAAACATAATTATGGTAAAAAAATTGATATTCTGAACACATTTTTTTAAAACATTATTATAACATTTTAAGACACTACTCTTCTCTAATAATTAAAAAATAAAAATATTATACCCTCCAATCTGTTGAGATACAGACTGAGATCTTTTCATTTGATTATTTAGGCTACCAGTTCCTCGTTTAGCCTAAAATATGAAAACAAAAGAATATTAATTTTCTTTTACAAATAATCAAAATATATGATGCAAATGTGACAATTTTAAGATATTATTTAGTTTTCCTAAACATATTAGTGTTGATTCAATATTCATTTATTAAGCATATGAGAGAGTGGTTAGAAGAAATTAATTCGTTAAAAAAAAATTTAGTCAATTTAAAAAAAAAGGAACACTCCATTCGCAGTACCACACATTGGAGCTAATACACTTGTTTTAGACTACAAACGTATTGTTTACAACATTTTTTTAATTAACTCCTTTGATGGGTAATGCCCTAGTCATTACGCTTTTTTTTTTTCATTTTCATTTCAATTTTTTCATAGGTTGTGGACAAAGGATTAGAAGTAAGATTTGTTGTAAACTGAAATTTTATCTTTGAAAACTACTGAAAAACTTGCACTTTCCTAAATGCATCATCTGAATAGGCTGTTTTTAAGACTTAAGGAGTTTTCATACCAGTTTCCAACAAAAAAATTTTGTTCACAACAATCAGCCATTGCAAAACAACAAGCATAAGAAACAACTGTCACTGCAAAATTGAAAAAGCCAATTTTGAGTAGAAGTTGTAGAAGTTTTCGATTTGAAGGAAAAAAAATATTTTCATTTCCTGCATAGATATAAAGCTCCCACGCTTTAACATAGGAAGCAAAAAGTAGAACACTTTCATATTGTTCTATTATCCATGACATCAAAAAGACTTTTAGGGAATCTGATATCCTCCACTATAGAATAGGTAAACTTTATTTGGCTATTAGAATAAGAATGACAAAGAAAGCCGATATTTGGGTATTGTAATTCTAGCATATTTGCAATATTTTCTTTTAAGTAAAGTGTATAAACACATACATGCATAAATATGCCTGAAATAATTTGTCATTTTTCATAATTGGTATCGATACAATTAGTGAAACAACAAAATAATCATTTTAATCTTATGTTTCATAAAGTTTATAAGATTTAAGGACTGTGACTACATATAAAAAAATAGAGTAACAATTCTTGAGAGCTCTTGAAAGAATATCGAGTTATTACTTATAAACCCTCTAGTTTCTAACTTGCTTCCTCTTCAATCCCTGATAACATTCCAAGGCGTGTGAAAAGAAGATGGCCTTGTGATCTCCTTATTTAGACATATTATTAGAGTGCTACCAGTGGGTAGTTTCTCAACAAGCATTTTCTATTATATTCCTGTATAATATAATAAAACAAAAATAATAATAATAAAAAAAAAAAATCAACTAATCGGATCTCAAAATATTAGATTTGGTGTAAAGGATGGTATTACCTAAAAAAAGACACCCTTCTCTGTTTTAATGAAAAATATTTAGAATAGACTTGATAGGTTTTATGGGTACAGGAGTATTTATGCAGAATTTAGATGTAAATTTAAGCATCCGATCTTAAATATATACATCATAGATATACATAATCAAATAACACAATGTAATATGTTTGACAGGTTAAATGCACAATTGTTTACATAGCACAATTAGGTACACATATTGGAACAAATAACGATACTGATTTATGACAGAAAATTAGCAATTATGTCCCAGGTTCTTTACTCTGGTTACCAGGTTATTCCAGACAATCTGCTTACAACCTTAATATCTAACATTTTTGATTAATTATAACTAAATATAAGCAATTAAAATTTAAGTATATAGCAGCTTTAAGAACTTCAAGATTGTGTTTTACATTATTAATGAAATAAACATAAAATACAAAGAACTTTATAACAGAAATAATATTATTAACATGTACTATGAACTTGTGGGTAATATAAGATTCGGAAACCAAAATATCTTTTAGAAAATGCAATTGCTAATTGTAAACTGAGGTAAAAAATAAATTATATTAGCCTTACCATATTGACACCCAATGGAGATAAAGAAAAATTTTCTACTGTTGCACGAAGTTCGTCAACGCTAGCACTCATAGGACCAGCTCCATTACTTATAGGCTTGATTTCAACCCTTATTTTCTTTTCCCTATCTTCATCTAAAAACCAAAGCTTTTCTATCATTAAAAAAAAATTGATATTTATAAAAGTATGTTACAACATATCATAATATGTTACAACACAAAAATATAAAAAATTGATAGAAATCATCAACACAAATAGACCAGTACTAAATTACTAAACATTTAAATAAAAATAATATATTTTATAAATGTATTTGTTAATTAACAATTACAATCATACACAAGGTACCTACCTATAATAAGTTAATGACCAATACATAAATAAAACTAATAACATTAACAGGACATAGGGGAAAGAAATCTATTAGCACTAGATACAACCAGACCCAAGGTAGTCTGCACAGCTGTAATAGACATATCTGCCAACAAAGTTTGTCAGATGAATTGGATTTGTATCAATTAGTAGCATTATCCATTTTTCAGAAGAAAATATCAGCATACAAGCACAAAAAATAAAGGGATGCCCCGAAGGGAGTTGAATACAACGATACCTAGTGGCAGGATTAGGAACTACAACTTCTCTAGAGCACTATTAGATTGTTTAAAGGTCTAACTTCCATACAAGTTTTGCATTATTAATGGGAAAAGTCATAAATAGATGGACTACTAACGCAGTTTGCCATCCCAGAAACCCACCAACCTCTGCCCTCCTACAGTCTTCTGAACCCACCTCACTCCTGAATGCTACACTACAGCCACCCACTATATTGTTGTTAAAGAATTATTCCATTTAAATTCTAAAACTTTTAAAATAAATTTTTGGCAGTCTGACTACTAAGAAAAAAAAAATGGACAGCTTAGAATAATTATGTAATAGCTGAGTTGATACCAAACTTCTCTGAACTTGAAAATCCTTGTCTTACCATACAAAACTATCACGTCCTTCTGTAAAACAGTAGTAAATAAAACATTAACCTATCATTATTATGCTATGATTTTTGGGAACTGTACATTCATCTCATAGGGATGCAAGCAGGGTGATAATTTTACAACAAAAATTGATTTATTATTTGATATACACGAATACAACAATACACAAGCTTTTCCTAGTTATTCAAGCAATTTCTAGTAAAACTTGGAGTTACTATGGATTGAGAACATATCATGTAAACAATCTAATCACCTTACTTTCTACTTACATCTGATATTTTTATTTAATTTTCATTTTACTGTCAGGTAAAACTGTTGAAATGCCCTCTTTGCAAAAAAAAAAAAAAATAATAAAAAAAAATAAAAAAATAAATAAAAAAAATACTATTTTGTCAATTATGGAAAAATTAGCATGTTAAATAAATTGTGTGCAGGATAAAGTACAACCGCTGTCGGACTACTTTTTAATATTAATGAGTCCATAGTACGATTAATTAATATATATATATATATATATATATCAATTAAATAAGAGCCATGATTTGTGCTTCTGTCATTGTGAAAATTGTTTTTCATTAGAAATAGATATCTTGAAGCGATTGAAAATGCTCGAAACATTTGATTAGAGGTTATGCCTAAAAAATGTCTCCCAATTAGTTCCACGTTGATAAGCGCTATTGCCAAAAAACATATGTTGTTTCATTTCCAGATTGGCTTAGTGAACGATAACTTTTTAATAGTAGGCAAAGTGGTGGTATAATCACATATAAAATACACCCATAACAATTCATATTATTTATAATGAAAATAAATGAATAATATAAAAAAGTTACAATAGATCGTACAAGAAAAAATTGTGTCAACAAACATACATACAGAGGTAAATTGGGAGTGTAAAACATGAAAATAAAACGATGGAAGAAAGTACAGAACACCTTGTGGAGTTTCAGCATAAATTGATCTCATGGTTGAGTTTTTGATATTTATGTTAGCTGTAAATGTTCAGTTGTTCAGAAAGAAACACAAAATATGACAATGGTATTTTGGAATATCTACTTTCTTGAGTAAAATAAAATATATATGATATATTTCTTGAATCATCCTTTGACTTCCAGGCAAGTCATTGATAATCAAAAAGAAATATAATTTTCACCATTTTATTTAAAATATTAAGCAATCAGCATCTGCTGATTATAAAGTGGTACAAAGATTTGCAGGAGGAATTAAGCAAATCATTGGGGAAAAAAGGATATCTAACACAGCAGATTTTTAATGTGTAAGATACTTCTCGAAAAAATGCCTTGTAAAACTTTTCTTTTCAAAACAGAAGCTTTGGTCTTCAAAGAAGCAAAAGTTTAGGTTTCTTCTATTATTTGTAAATCTCTCAGGCAATTTTTAGAAGTCAATGATGGTATATCAATCTCAAAATCTATGAAAAAAATAAAAATCAATTACCCTTTTTCAAGAAAGGTAAAAAAAAAACATGAGTCACCGATGTTTTATTTTAACAGTAGTTTAATGAATATTTTATTAACAAAGTGAAAAATTATATCTTGAAGTTTTGACTTTAAAGTTCTGTTAATCATAGACAACATGCAAACAGTTCAAAAATCAAATATGACCTCAACCTTATTTAAGTATGAAAGTCAAGAAATCAAAGATTGAAAGGGGAATCGAGATTGCTATGATCTTCAATGTTGAACTTTAATGTCAGCCAAACAATCACACATAACAAGTTACTTTTTACAATGAATGAATAGAAATTAATATTAATTTACAAACGTATAGATTAATACCTATGTAAATATTATAATTAAAAATAATCAAAAACATTTTTTTGAAAAAAAAAATCTGTGTTTTAGGGCCATTATTAAACATATAAAGTCCTGCATACATAGGGTAAGAGACTAAACAATTCAAGATTCTTAGGATTTTCCTGAAATGTAACCCTCGCGAATGTTGAGGGATAAGCCTGTATTTGAACCATTTTAAGAACAATTAGTATTTTTAAATATATTAAATATCTAAATAATTAAAAATTAAACAATAATAATAAACCTGAATCAGTGTCAGAACTTGAATAGAAACTGCCCCCTGTATCTATTTCCCATGGTTCAAGTTTTGGTCTAACACAATACCCTTCTTCATCAACTTCAGGAGTAGGAGTTTTGGACTTTTGAATTTCTTCTTTCTCCTCTCTAATAAAAAAAGATAACAAAAATATCTCAATAATATCAAAATGACAATAGAAAACAATACTAACTTTTACTAAGTATTTTCTTACTTTCACTTATATAAATATTATACTGATATGTAGCTTTTGATAAATTTGCCATTAGATTATTTTAAATAGAAACACATCAGACAGTGAGGGTATCCCATAGGTAAAGGAACATATTTAAAGAGATGATAGTAAACCTGAAGAATTACAAAAAAGCTTTATATAAACCATCATCCAATTTTTTTGCTTTTAATAAAATTTAAGTTATGTGTTTTTTAAGTAATATTTTTTGTTGTATAGAAAACAATAACTAAAAACATGTTTAATTTAAAGTAATTAACAATTGCTTCATAGTAAATCAGACAAAATTTTCTTTAAATGCTAGTAGGTTTGTCTTTGTTAGAACTATTTAAAGGGACTTTTAAGTGGCTAAACTATGATTAGTTCATTTTTTGTATCACCCTCCAACTGGACTACAGATACATCACTTTTAGAAAAATTTCCTTGTTTAAAAAGTATTAAAAAAAAAAATCTGTACCACTAAAACCCACGAAGGATCTTGGGTTCAGTACTATTCTTTAGTCAGCGGTTGTGCAAGGAGGTGATTTGACTGAAAACTGCCAGGTTTTCCTAGTTAATTAATTATTTAATTAAGGGTACCCACTTTATAGAGGCTGGGTGTGCCCCAAGCAGGGTCTCCTTATCCCAAGGTCGCCCCACGGTTGTTGAAACAGAATTAATTATTTTTCTGCCATGAGCCGAGATTCGAACTCGGGATCTTGAACATTGGAAGATCAGTACCCTACCACCGAGCTACCCCACTCCCTTAAAAAAGCATTAAGTCTACATTAATGTAGTTGAATTTTACCACTACTAGTTGTGTAGAAAAATTATATGAATTGATTTTCTGTCACCTTGGTGGATTCAACAAAGAGAGTTAGGAGCAAACTAATATTTAAAAAAATAACTATATTTATTTATTACATAGCTTAACTTTTTTTTCTTCTGAGCCCAGGTGTATATGGTGATAAATTAATTACAAAAATAAACTTTTTATTTATAAAAAAAATACTACAAAGCAATTGTTAATTATCTAAATTAAATATTTTTTTAGTTACTGCTTCTTATTCAACAAAAAAGGTGTCTTAATTTAAAAACACAAAATGGTTAGGACATAAAATAAAAAATGTATATGTTTATTGAGTTTGCTGACATTTCAACCTAAATACATGTACCATCATCAGGTTTTGAAGAACGAACAAGAAATCTTGTCATGAGTTTTTGTCCAGCCTTCAAACAAACACCCTGATGCTGACCCATATCCACATGTTTGGGTTGAAATGTAGGCAAACATAATTTTTTGACTGCACACCCCGGAACATTTTTCATCCTTACAATTTCGACAGTCAACTAAATATCCATCTCTAAAAACACAAAATTAAATGTCCTGTTTTTCGGTGAAAAATTTGACTATGGTTTATATAAACATTTTTTTAGTTCTTGAGTTTTATTATCACTTCTTTAAATATAAGAATATTTAACAAAACAAAATATTTCCTTTAACACAGGGGACACCCAGTATATGAGTTTGTATGAGCACATATGAATATTTTAATTGATATTTATAAATCCATGATAAATATAATGACTTCTTGATTACTTGCATAATTCAGATGGATTTTCAGGGAATAAATGTTATAATGAGACATTTTTTACATTAAATTCAACAATTTTAATGTTTTTTTATATTTCATTATTCAAATGCTGGAAGTATAATTATTTTAATGAATGAGTGGTTTGTTTCTAGACATTGAAGGGCATCAATTAAATGTTCAAAAATAATTTATGACACAATTATTTGTTTGATCCTATTCATTAATGCCATAGAGCAGGTAAAAATAGTTTGAGTAATAAATAATTTGAAGTGATGAGAATCAGAGGAGAGAGGGGTTAAATTAATAAACAAATTATTCCTTATTGTTTAGGCCCCATGACTTATGTTATATAAAAACTAATTTATACTAATTTTGTCTCATTGTTTTTTTTTTATGACTCTTAACTGTTTAATGCATACATGTTCTGTTAGGTAGCTATAAATGTGAAACATATCAAACTAAAGAATATGTGGGTGTGGACATAAAAAATTCTCACCGATATAGAATTTCAAGTTCTATAATTTATTGTAGTGAATATTAGAAGTTAGTAAAGGGGTGCACTATATTTGTAACTTTTGCAGGTGTTTGTAGTGAACAACCCAAATATCTCAGATGAATCATCCTGATGATAGCCTAAACATAGGACAAAAAGTCGGCACACAATAAAGTAACATTTCTTATTTACATGTTATCTTATATATGACCTCACTAATTTCCCCAAACACAGCACTAACTTCCCCAACAATTTGTTTGAAGGTCAACAATATCTCCACCTAGAGGTAGATAATTTTTTATTAAAAAGTAAGGGGAAAATGAAATTAATATGTAAAATATTTGTGAATAATTTCACCAAATCTACTTATTTCTTAATCAGTAATAAAAAGATATATAGAAACAAAATATTTATTAGTAGTTACAAATCCACATATGTTATTTGTTAACTAACATAATTTTTTTCATATTAAGGAGTTTAAAAAAAAGTAACTCAATAACAAAATAGTAATTAATTTTATAGCAATAAATTTTTAACTTGAAAAGGGGAGTAAAACCCAACATGTAAATAACATTAAAATAAATTAAAATCTATACTCACACATCTGATTTTTCTTCCTTATTACTAGTGTTATCAGGAGGCACATCTTTTTTCTTTTTCCCTTTCTTTTCTTTCTTTTTTTCACGACGACTTCTTAGGAACCCTAGAGGAGTAGTGAAAAGGAATGTACATATAATCATGTAATGGAATCGTAATATATATTTTTTTCAATGGTAAAGTCTCCAGTGGATATCATTAATTCTAGGTTTATTATTATTATTTTTAAATGGATGAGAAATGATAAAATAATTCACAATAGTTGAAATTTTAATACTTTTTGAAAATAGAAAATGAAATGAACAGTTTTTAGTAATTTATTTTAAGCAATCTAATGACTTTATAAATATAATGAAAACTAATTGTGGTAAAGTTTTAAGCTAAAGTGAAAAAAGGAAGAAACAACTAGACCTGATGTCCAAGCAGATATGCCTGTAGGTGATGGAATTTCGCAGATATCTGTCAGCCAGTAAGAACAAAAAGACACTTTCTAAATTATCAAGTAATTAAATGAACTTTTAGAAACAGGTCATTATAAATTACATAAAATTAGAAATCACAATACAATGAATTGGTAAATTTTGAAAAAGTAAAAAAATATGAAAAGAAACTAACATAGCAGCAATTATTTCTTAAAAATATAATTATCTGGAGTGAAACTCTTTAATCATCCACAAGGAGTAGAAATAAAATAACAATTGTTGAATTAATAATGCAAAATTCAACATTAAGCAAATAAAATATCTATAACTAGAAAATACAGGGTCTTAAAGCGTTAGGTTTGTTAAGCTTGTGGATAAGCTATTAATAGAATACTGTTAGTTAGCATAATTAAAGCTATTTAATTGTTTTCAAGCAAATCATACACAAACATACAAACAAGTAGTCTTAACAGTCCCACCGGATAAAAATGGACATACAAGGTTTATGGTTGGTGATAAGAAATAATAACTGGGAATAAAGAAAAAAAATCATGATATAACTAAATAAAATCAAGAATAAAAGGAAGGAAGGAATGAATGATGGAGGAAGAGGTATATGTTAACTAAGGATCAATTTTTTGAATTTAGTAGACATTTATTTTGTTGTAACCAATAAAAGTAAACATATTCATGACACTGAATCACTAATTAAAATATATTTTTAATTTTTAAATAGTTTATGTTTAAGTATCATAAAACTCAAATTAAATACGAGAACCGATTCAATTAATGTGATCCTTAATTACATGTGTAAGAATAAATTAATGATAAAACTAAATCTAATAAGAACTGTGCCAAAATAAAATAAAAGCATCTATAGAAACAATTAAATTTATTAGGAAATATAAAGTTGCATATATAAATATTAATTTAATTTAAGTAATCCTTCATTGTGGAGTGATACCTCTTCAAAATCAGAACCAATTTTCTAAAAAAATATTTTTTTTATCAACAGACCTATGTAAATAATTTGACACGTAATTATTACCAATAAATATTTTCAAATAAATAAAATTTTTTGCATCAATCAATTTAAAATAAACTTCATTTTAAAATTCATTATTTTGTGTTAGTTATATCCAATTAATAATTGAACAACTCAGTTAATATGAAACCTCTAACAATGTTGAAGAAAATAAAAATAAGCTGTAAGAATATCGTTGTCAGAATATTTTAATCTATAATTTTACTGACATACATGGTAATGATGAATGGCTGCCAAATGTGCACATTTTCTGTTATAAGAAAATGCAATGACAGATTTTTATATACTTTAAAAATGCAGATTTTGAATAAATAAAATAAAATATGAATGAATTCAATAACAATTTAATTAATAAGTAAATTGGATAGACACTAATAAATGAAGCTGAATTTTAACATTTAAATGTAAGCATAGGTCAATAATTCAAATCAATTAATGATTATTCTTAAATTGACCAAGAAAACCTCCAAAATTGAATCTCGTTATATACCATCAACCAATATTACAACTTTTAACCCAGTAAACAGATACTGAAAAAGGTGATTTTTTTTTTTTATAAGTAATATGTACCAAGGGTCTTTACTACAAACCTAAGTTTTCTACTTAGAAACGCCTGTGCATGAATCAGTACAACTACTTTTTTGTCACTTAAAAAGTAATTAATAAATGTTATTGATAGACAAAGGATTGCCCATCAGCTCATTTTATTACCTCTAAATAAGTTAATCCTTGAAATAAAAACTAAAAAAATCAATTGAGTCGCACAGAGTTAATCATTTAATTTTCAAGCATTTAGTTCAAGGATTTTTAATCTAATACAACATTCATGATTCACAAATTATTAACATATTTTAGGTAGCGGCTATGCCTGACATTGCAACTATCTAATATATTGGATACCATAAAGACTGAAAAATATTATTCAAAAGTTAACCAATTAAATTATTTCGTTTTATAATAATAATAATAAAAGATGTATTAAATTTAAACTTGCAAATTATGCTCATATACTACATATAGCCCAGTTAAATTAGCACAAAAAAGGTGGTATAGCTTGCAGAAGTTTGGGGAGATAAAATTGCTTTTTTATATTGTTAGTACATTGTAAGCAGTAATTAAAAAAAAAAATCCAAGTTTCTGCCCTTGAAAGTCTTGTGGGTCTGCTGCAGTGCTCCGAAAATCATTGAAATTTTGAATTTTTTTTTGTTTACGCTAAATATCTCTTTTTTAAAGTGACATAGATAGAAAGTAGTTATACTCAATCTTAAACAGCTTAAAATTATCTAACATTTTAATATATATATTTTTCTAAACACAACAGGAAGCGGACTATCGAGCTTTCAAAATGGGTACGGTTTTAAAAAAAAAATAAAAGAAAATTGACAGTTAAATTATTGTATTAATATTTGTTCGTTAATATAATCAAATATTAATAAATCATTAGAACATACTATAACTTAAACATTTATGAGTACTTAATGATGTGGCAGAGAACTCATATAACAGTACCGCTTTTCCGCTGATTAAGTGCATTTTTTTTTAAATGCTTCAAATATTTTAAAAAGTAATAGTGTTTTAGTAGAATGAGAAATGTATTCTCCAGATGTTTTATTTGAGCGTTTTTCATCATTGTTGGCTGTTTATTTACAATATACACTTAATTTTTAACTTTAGTTTGAACGACTTGAAAAACTTGACTTTACTAGTGTTTTTATTACAGGCCAATTATTTTTTCATGTTTTACTATTCTCTTAGCTAAATGCTGAAACTCAGTGACCAAAAATCTAACTCAAATCAAAGACGTCAAGCTCGATAGTTTGCTTCCTGTTGGGTTTAGAAAAAAATGTTAGATAATTTTGAGCTGTTTAAGATTGAATTGAACCATTTTTTATCTATGTTGCTCTAAAAAAGAGATATTTAGCGTAAACCAAAAAAAGTTTGAAATTTCAATGGTTTTTGGAGCACTGCAGTGAACCCACATGGTGTCTTTCAATGGTGTAAACTTGGATTTTTTATATTCACTGCACACTTAACAATATAAAAAAGAAATTTGATTTACCCGACCTTTTGCAAGAAAGATAACATGTCTAATTTGACTGGACAAAGATTATTAGTGAGTCTTTTAATTACAATAATCTATGTTTATAATGCAACAATTGATGGGATAATTAATTTTTTTATGATGAATACTAACAGATTGTTGGGCCTGAGTGAAATAAGAAATTAAAAGAGTATATATATATATATATATATATATATAGATATACAACTGGAAAAAGCTATGAAAATATATTTAAATTATTTTGCTACATAATAATAATGAAATTGTATTTGAATAAAAAACAACTGTAATGACTAACATATGATACTTTCGATGAATTATCTTTAAATGGATTTACTGTTTTAGAGAATATATGTTTAACAATTGGACTTCTTTAATTAAAAAAAAAAAGAAAAGAAATATTTCTTTAAACCATTAATTTAAAAAGCTAATATCATTTTAAAAATCCGTTTTTTTTTTTTTAAATTAAGTTCAAGTTCTTTTAGTTAAGAGAAAAGAAAGATTAAATTGATGAGAGGCCTTTTTATATTGATCAATATTAAAATAGACACATAATAACGCTAATATTTAAATTAGATAGTCATGATTACACTGAGAACAGTGACATTTTAATACATGAAAAATTTCAATACTCAAATTTTGATGGTTACTATTGGATAAAAATTGATAACTCACAACAGACTACACATAGCAGAACAAAATTTTGAAGATCTACTCATCACATGGACATATCGGTAGCTCATAAAATTAAAACATATGGTACAATAGAGAAACTTTATTCCTCAGGGGATAACATCACTTCATAACTAAAATATTTTTGTATGAAGAAAGCAAAAACTTAGAAGTTGCATACTTGGGAATGGCTTTTATTAAGAGTACCCTCTCTATAGAGGCTGGGTGTGCTCCAGGAGTGTCTCCTGATCACAGGATCAATCCATGGCAGATTTAACAGAATAAATAATTACCTTTCACAGCCGGACTCGAATCCAGAACCTTGGGCTTAGGAACCCAGTGTAGAAGTTGGAAAAAAGTGATATAAATTTTGGAGTTATATAAACCCCCATGGGAGTAAAGTTTCCCTGTTTTATGGTAAAGGATAAATTAAAAATTGAAAACAAAAAAGTTAAACCAGTTGACATAAAACGTCTGAATAATGGTGCTTAATAATAGCTTGATACTATAGATTAATCTATAAAAGGAATCACTGTTATTAAAACATTGATTATATAACTTAAATGAAACAAAAAACAGAACAATTTGAGAAGTAAATAAAGGGGAAAAAATTGAATCTGGAAACCTTAAATAAAGGAGAAACAAGTTTCTTCTGATACGAGATCTCAACAACTAATACATAATCATCAACATTATATTGTAATAGCATACAATTTAATTTCTTAGGAACCGTGATACAAAATTAAATTTTAGTATTAACTTTATATATATATATATATATATATATATATATATATATATATAATGTTTGTGAGTATGTATGTACAATTAAGATTAATGAATAGTTACATTATTTATATGAACCTTCTTGCATACACACTAGTTATACCTTAGAACAGATATTG